TGACTATAAAAAACTAACGGACTATGATTCCGCCTTACACATGTACACTGAGAAAGTTTCTGATATCATTTTAATTTGCTTTAAATAGCTATTGTCTTCGAAAATTGATGGATTTATAACTTGAGAGTTTGAAGAATTTAGTCAACAACTGACAACAATCAGCATAAATGGAAGGAACCTGAAAGAAACAACCTCTTTTACCTACCCATCTGGGAAGCATCGTTTCAACTACAGGCGGACACTACTGACGAGGATATCAAAGCAAAAATCGGAAAAGCAAGACAAGCTTTCACTACTCTCAAGTCTGTCTGGAGGTCAACAACACTCAGCATCAAAAATAAGATCCGGATTTTCAACTCCAATGTGAAGTCAGTCAGTGCTACTGTATACGGATCAGAGACTTGCACTCCGCGTCATGAAGAGCATCTCAAACAAACTACACACCTTCATTAACAGTTGTCTTCGCTCAATACTCCTCTCAAGATCAGATGGCGGGCCAGAAGAGATCAGCAACAGGGATCTCTGGTAATGAGCGAACCAACCCAGCAGGAACCGATTGTGAAACAAATAGGCAGGAAGAAATGGAGATGGATTGGCTGGCCATACTCTGAGGAAACAATCCATCAAGTGACATCACTAGACAAGACATTGCTCGAGTGGAACCCGAAAGGGAAGCGGCGAGTTGGCCGTCAGTGCAAGGGTGACTTGGGGGAGGTCATGTGAAGAGGAGATGAAGGTGTGTGGGCAGACATGGAGCCAGGTGAAGACTCTAGTAGAGAACCGAACGCAATGGAGACGCACGGCTGAAGCCCTATGTTCCTCTAGGAATTAAAGGATACAATAATAATAATAATAATAGTGAAAAGAGCTTTATTCCAAACAATATTTTGATATAAACATGGAATTTTCGGTATGTAGCGTAGTGTTGCATCTAACTTTCGCATTACAGGGAGAATGATTAAAACAGAGCATTTATACTAATAATATTGTTCAATAAGAAATGAATATAAAATTATATCAAGTGAAAATATTAACGACAATGTAACAGTGAAAATAAAAAAAGCAATGCCATTTACTTAGAGTTCCACAGTAAGTTGATATTTTCCTGTCTCTCATATAAAATGTATCCCAGCTGAATTAGGTATTGTAGAGTTTTGTACATAGTCATACAGAAGATGTTCAGAGTCTGACAGGATAATATTTCTTAACTTCTTGCGTCGGTGGCATAGCGGTTAGGACTCTCGCCAACCATGTACATGGTCCGATGTTCAGTCCCCGGCTAACGCACAGCTGATATCAATGGTCGGCCTGCGAAATCTGCGCTACCGATATCACATGCTCTAAATTCCATACTTGTACCAAAAATACGGTATGGAATCAAGCTATAATATAAAAAATATGGCTATCTATAATAGTATTAACGAGGTGGTTTAGCACCAACCCACTCGCCCTGCTAACGGCTTTTAGTGCCCTTCGAAGTAAAACAGAGCCTTTCTTAAGTAGCCCAGGAAAGTTTAAATGGGGTCGATAAAGAAGTATAGGCAGGTAGTATACAAAAATTAACAAACGGTAACAGTCGGTACATTTAAAATGACTATAATATGGGGTATAAAATTCAGATTATTATTATTCCTTTGGGTTCCGAGTGCAACACACCACTTCTGCTGGCTAGCCACACGATTAACCACAATCCCTCATCTACTTCTCCAACTCACACGACCTCCTCCATGTCACCTTCGTACCGAACACCCACTCGTCACTTCCCATTCGGATTCCACTTGAGTAGTGGCCTGTATTGCTCACGATGCCATTCGATGGCCTCCTGAATGTTTTCCCGATCCATTCATCTCCATTCCCTCCTACATATCTGTTGTTGAGCAATCGGCTCTTACTTGGTTGGTTCGTTGGTATGTTGCCAGCCAGCCAGCCAGCCAGCTGGAGTTTCTTGTTGGTAATTCTTTCTGGTCAGTGGACCGACCAGTCGGCCATTTGATCTTCAGTATGGAGCCAGTCGGCGAATGGGACAGCTGCTGGTAAAAGTCTGCATCAGCCTGTTGGAAATGTTTTTCGTGACTCACACGCAGTGCAGGTTTCTGACCCACAGCACAGCAGAACTGACTGACTGAGTGATGTCACATTTGTGTTGAAAATCCTAATCTCGATCTCTATGCTGTGGTGGAGTACAGAAGATTTTCCAACTGGCTTCAGGTTGATGAAGGCGTATCTTGCCTCTCCGATTCTGTCTGTGGTTGAAACGATGATTCCTAGCCGGACAAGTGAAGGGAGGACGTTCTGCCTACCAAATCTCTCCCGTTGATGGTGATCGCTTCTGGTCGTTGTTCTTGCTGTTGGTTGGTTATTTGGTTGTCTTCATCACCTCCGTCTCCACCTTCTCTATGTTCACCTGGAGTCAGTCCTGTCTTCGCATCCTGCCTGCCAGCCAGCCAGCTTCTTCAGCCAGTTTGTGGCTTTTCGTCTGTAGGTCTTCAAGTTTGTGTGACATTAGACATATATCCTCCACACGCGAAATCCAGATCTTCTAGAGTCTTCTTATCCGTCAGGGCAGCGTATTTCTGTCTCCTCGCTCCCAACTCACAGTCCTGTCCACCATAATTAAGAATATCAATCGCGGTGATGACAGGCAGCCGGCCTTGTTTTACGTCTGTATTCACTTCGCTGAGTTTTCTGTTGTGGACCACCTGTCACCGTCATTTAGCTGTTGATCGCAATGCTATTCTCTTCTCTTTAGTTCATTCGTTTCGACGAGTAGCTATCCACTGTGTATCAATATATATCGTATGTAAGTTTATACATAAGTTTTGCCTCTGTATTGCATAAATGCATTACTTCCCTTCATTTTAATAGATCCAACGTATATAATAGTTGATTCCTCGAAGAATGTATGTCATCAAGCTAAATTATTCAGGGATGAAAGGTCAGTCAAAAAAATGTGGAAGCCACAAAAGCATCACTCATAAATCTTTGACAAAATCTACACCCTTCCCAAGTGATCTAGCTACCATCATTTCGTGTTTCAGTCTCTATAGTTATGCTGAGAAATGTATCTTCCTCAGTAGTGGAATTATCCATCTGTTCCGAATTATCCAACTGCCAGCAACAAAATCCCGTTAGTTACAAACACTCCAGTTGTCAAGCTTACAAGATACAAACTGAAATAAGTTCGTAACCTAAAATCCTTTACTGTCAAGGCCCCTGGTTATGAATGATACCCAATCCAATATCCCTACCACCACATGGCAGCTCAGAAGACCTCTCAGACCATTTGCAATCAACAGTTACTTTATATTATTTGCAAATAACGAGCAGCGATACCTTCAGTAGCAGTATGTCCTCATTCCTGTCTCAAGTTTAGCATGAACAGCAGATATGGTGATGATGTTTGATTAATTAGATAGTTTTAAATAAATTTCTGTTCATAAAAACGAAAACCCCATGATCACATAGCGCCAAATACTTGACAAGATTAATGATCAATTAGCCTGAAGGTGGTTAGCAGTCATTCGTAATATTTATAGCAGGCCTTGCTGGATGAGTTTATTGACCATAGACAGAAATATATATCTCACCAGCGTACTCCAACATGACAGTAGTTTCACGTTATCTCAAAAATGATACATCTCTGACAGAACTAATGAACAACTTATACTAAATCTTGACTACACATTTTTGTGAACAATGACAAAAATAGTAATAATAATTTGCTTTATTCCAAAACAGTACTTGTAATACAGAATGGAATTCTCAGCATTTTTACAACAGTACTGCATCCAGTTAGTACATTATCAATAAATAGAATTCTACATAGATTAAGGAAATCTCAGTTCATTATGACAACAACATATTGGCATGTCGGCAGCAATGCCAAAGTTGAACAGTGTTTGAAGGTGTTAGAAAATTGGGAGCTATCATATTTACTGGCGTAAGCGAGAGAAAGAAACAAAGCAGCACATAACGGAAAAAAAGGGAGAGAGAAAAGGAATAGAAAGAAAGGGAATGTTGTACCTATAAATGATATGAGTTGGAAAGACGAGATCCAGTTGTACTACTGACTATTTAATGAATTATAGGTGTCACGCCTAATGCTTTCTTTATCACATTGAACACGAGCTACGTAGGGTATGGTTGAGTTTTTGTACTTGCTGGTGCGAGCATGTAGTTTTCTATATAGGCTTCTAGTTTTGCCTGATGAGATGCAAGGGGAGAGTTGTGAATGAAGAGGGTGGTGTGAGTTAGATAAAATGGATTCGGCCCATTTTTCAAATGAGTCCATGTGCCTATCGACCAGAATATTAACAAGCTGGTTAAGTGGCACGTTGCTTACCCTGCCGACAACCTTTAACATCCTGCGTAAAATGATTGAGCACACTGATTTTTATAATTTAACAAAGCTTCCAGGAAAATGTTTAGTCTTATGCAAGCAAGTTTCAGTCGAGTATCCTTTCTGGCACACACACACACACACATAGAAACTTGTCGGTACCTTGTCAATTGTGAGTGTAAACTTTTTCTTGTATTTATTAGTTAAAATCTGATTGAAGAATACTCTTAACTCTTCAACTTGTCTAAAAACAAGCCATCAGTGTATATATTTGGCATGGATTATTATTCATATGACCAGAGTACAGTACATACTAAACTATGATTGAGGAATCACCAACCTTAATATGTGTAGATTAGGTATCTTTTTTTATTCCTTCACGTTCTCAGTGAAACATAAGGCTTCAAGCTACAGCTTTGAAGTTTCGGTAGCAGTGGTGATTATTTTTACAGGATGGGGTTGCTAGCCTCATGCCCAACCTCTACTCTTTACCAGCTTTATTTTTGGCTTAGCGAGGTAAAGGAGTGCGTCGACCGGGGATTGAACCCCGAACCATGTGCATGGTCGGCAAGCTTCCTAACCATTGTGCCACCGACGCACGTAGATTAGATTGTAGTGGTATTATTCTAACAAACGATGAGTTTAAACAAATTTTTTATTTTGCAGTAGTTATGAAATATATACGAAATTACTATTACAAATTTATATTTACATATGTCTGATTCAAGGTAAAGCGAACAGTAGTCGGCAACAAACAATCTTATAGTATGATGTATAAAAGAGATATTTTTTCTGTACATAGATCATAATCTCTCTGTAAGCATTTACAGAATTCAATGATAGACTGAACAAAAAGTATGTCAATATCTCATTGTAATATCCACCATTCAACAAGTCAACTTTTGATACAATTCAAAACTATTTGTTCCAGCAAAATGAACTATTCGACCGGCAACTATACTTGCAGATGGAGAAACTAGATTATCCATTCGATCTAAAAATGAAAGAAAATAACAACAAAATATGTCTTAAGAAACAATACTGATCTTATCAATTCAAAGAAAGTACTGGTAACAAGACTGTAACTATTTCACTGTACTGTAAGCTTACTCTAAAGGATGAAAAATGTCTCATATATATGTGGAAATGAGCGAGAGTTAGACTACAGAAGTCTTACATAACATTACTTGTTTCAAATACTGGTAGTAAGATGTTAGTTATGAAACAATTTCTATCTTATGTGTACTTATGGAAGCGTGCGAGTAGTTATTACTTTTCGAACGCCCACAACGTGGAAATTCATTTCTTCTTGAAATACCTGAGGGCATTATTATCGGGTGGCCGCAAAGCTGGCTGGTAAACTGCTTGAGTTGGCTATTGGAATTGTATCCGCATCAAGATTTTACTACCGGCTACGGACTGCTGAAAGATAATTCGGGATGTACAATTTTCGGAGTTGACATTTTTTACCACCCCCTCCCTCCACTCGCCACACTGGAGAGCTGGAGCATAGCTGGTATGTTGCTGGTCATCTGAGGGAAACACTTTACTGCTATCACATTCCTATTTGTCACCGATACGAATTCGCTTACACCTTACACAATGGTGGCAACTGCTTCTAGTCTAAGTGATATCTACACAACCCTTCCATTATGGTAGGACCTGTAGTAACATCAGCTCCAGATAGCGAAGTTCATCAAGCCGTTGAGATGCACAAGCCTAACCACAACCATGTCAATTCGGCACCTTTCAGCTAGAATTTCTGTCTGTGCCAATCAGAAAAGAGGATTTTAGGTAGTCATCTTTTTTGTACAACAATCTTATATGAAGTTTAACGGAAATCTCAGTGAACATGGATGCACAGAAAAAAAAATGCTATTTTCCACTTTAGGGTCATAAGAGATAATAACCCAAGCAGCTTATTTATAAAGGCAAGGCATAGTTAACTGAAAACCTTCTATAACTTTAGTATCATTACACTAGGATTCATTTTCATGTATCTACAGGGAACATTTATATGCTGGTTATTTCGATATCGCATACAATATCAGACACGTTACATGTTCTGATATTAACGGTTTTATATTTCGAAGGGAATGTTCAAGAACTGTGTACTTTGTTAATAACTAACTTCAATCTTTTTGAATATGTTGCCACTACTAAATAGGTGTAGTTTGAGTAAAATAAGTTGCGCAACGAATCACAGGGAGACTATTTTAATTGTCTAATTTGTTGTAAATGCATACTTAATCTTTTTGTCATACAAAGATATTTAAGCGACAACTCAAAGTCAATGCAGTAAAAGTAAAAGACATCAAAAAAAGAATTTTTTTAAATTACCATCTTGTAGAGCGTTTCTCAGAGCGGTTGCTACAGTTTCAAACGTCATTTGTTGAAGTGGTGATGGATGTGAAACCATTGAACGTCTGTTGAAAGCATTATAGACTCCATATTTTGTCATGTAATCAGCAATTAAGGATAAATGTCGGAAATCTACATTAATACCATAATGACCGAATACACCAGATACTTCCTAAAAAATACAACACCAGACAACCGGAATAAAAGTTAATATTTAGCCAATTAATACATAACGAAAACAATGAAATATAAGCAGCAAATATGAAAAGGGCTAAATTATAAATAGCACCGAATTCAGAACTTTAATAATAATGAGTACTGTTATCATTCCCTTGGGTTCCGAGTAGAACATGGTGTGGCGAGTGCTACTGACAAGATTTATCAGTAGTATTTATTTTACTTTTTTTTCGATTACAGCTTGATTCCACACCGTATTTTATGGTACAGGTATGGAATTTTCAGCATGTGATATCGGTAGCCCAAATTTTGCAGGCCGACCATAGATATCAGGTGTGCATCGGCAGGGGATCGAACCCCGGACCATGTGTATGGTCGGTGAGAGTCCTAACCACTGTGCCACCGACGTTCATCGGCATAACAAACATTAAATAGCAGGGAGATAGATTTGATGTCAGAGAAGGTAAATGATACAGAGTAGTGGAGATACATGGGAGACATGGAAGAAACACACATAATATGAAGGGCGGAATTAGCACAACAGAGAAGATTAGTGCAAATGGTACGTTGAAGACAAGGTATGTATAATTTGGCTATATAGAGATAGGAATTTCCAAATAAACATTACTTTACCAAGTCTTCGGGTTCCACCATTTCAATAGGACTTCAACAGTAAGTCTCCATTTAGCTATGTTCTCTGCAGTCTTTCTTGAGCTGACTAGATGACTGCCCACAAGCTTTCACTTCCTCCTCACACGATCTCCTTTACGAGAACTATCGCATGGCATTCATCTTACACTCGAGGGCCTGCTGGAAGGTGCCACTCAACGGTCTTCTCAGCGGATGTCCAATCCATCTACATATCCTTCGGACTATATGCTGTTAATTGATTCGTTGCCAGATTTGCTTGTTGTTTATCCTTTCTCGACAGTCATCTGATCAACGGTGTTAGGCTAATGACGGTAACTGTTGATGAAATTATGCAGTTGCTCGTCGGAAATGCTTTTTTCTGAACTAAAAGGAGCACTGACTTATGTGACATTAGTGTTGAAAGCTCAGATCTTATTCTTTATGTTGACTACAACAGATTTTCACACTGATTTCAGATTAATGAACGCCTGTTTTGCTATTCAGATCCTATTCTAACTAGTTTTGAAATCCTTAGTTGTGGCGAACTCCTGTGATTGAAACAATGCTGTCTAGGGAGCAGGTAAGAAGTAACTTCCTTCAAGTATTTCCGATTAATGGTCGCTGGTGCTTATTACTTTTGGGTAGATATCTTCATCATCCTCACTGTCTGAAATTCAGCATTCGTTGTCTATCCCACCACCTTATTGGTTTTCGTCTAGCTGACTAGTTCATCAGTATGCTAACCAGTCTTAAGTACAGAAAGAGAGGTAAGGTTGGGAGTGGGGGCTAGTGACTTTAACCCGAAAACCCGAGCAGAATGAATAATTCAACTCAACTACGAAGCATAGTATATTTTATAGACTGACCTATAAGTCGCACCGTACGAGTATCTATGATAATAAGTTGTTGAACAAGTAAAAGAGTACGAGAAAAGGTTTTCGAATCTGACAACTATAGGAAAGGAAAAAGGTGGTAAATATTACTAGAAAATATAATTTCTTATTTATCTGACGTATGAAAAGTTGAAAATTCAAATCAAAGTAACAACAATATGATAATGAAAACTTCACAATAAAAACACGGTCACTAGTATTTGTGACAACCAAAAAAAAGAGTACCGCTCACCTTCTGTAAAGCTGCTCTAGCAGCTTCAATACCATAGGTTTCACTCATCACTGTGATATTGTTTGTGTAAAGGCGATTTAAATCGAAAACTTGTGGATAACGCATCATTTCCTTTGGAGAAGAGAACAAAAATTAAACTAAAAATTAGTCTGTCCGTAAAAAATGAATGAAAAAAAATAAATAAAAGAAATTCTAGTGACACAGCAATTACTATATTCTCCGGCAAGTTGACATACAAGCATACCACCATAATACAGAATATCTACCCAACCGAATAATTTACCAAAGCTTTTTTCACATAATTGATACGTTATTTTTGGGTTGACAGATAAGGATTTTCAGTATTGCTACTGAAGTACTGTTGACAGTTCTTGGGCGTTGCTGCTACCTTGACGTGGTCGTCGGACTTGCACATCGCAATGACCCAACAAGCTACACTGGCTGGAACTATTGTACCTGCAGGTTCTACCATACCAGGAAGGTTGTTAGGATAGCGATTAGACTGAAAGCAGTTACCGGCTTAGTGTAAGAATTTTTTCTTACACTTTGCTGGTGGTCTGTGGGCGAAGTCGTACTGCTGGGGAACAGGGATGTAACAGCAGTGAGGTGTTTCCCTCAGATGACCAGCATACCAGATATGCTGTCTCTCCACTCTGTAGAGAGGGGGTTAGAAAAGGTCGACCCCAACAATTGTACATCCCGACTTACCCTACAGTGGTCCGTAACCGACGGAACCAAACCAAGAAAGCAGTTAATACAGGCTGTGTGTGACCATCCTCAAGCAGCTGTCCCCTGGACTCTGCAGGGGAACGCAACATTAACCCTCTTTGTTTCAGGTACCCGAAGAATCAATCGACTTCCACGGTGTGGGCAGCCGGGAAGTAACAACCGCCCACATACTTCCAAGAGCATACGAAGCCTCCCAGAGCATCATTCTCCTTTACCTACATCACCATCATCTTACTCCTCTACTACAGTTAGTACTATTCTTCAGGCTAGTGAGTCATCTGAGCGTTGAATGTCACCAGTACTAAAAATCCTTAACTTTTATATAAACATCTACAGTTTTAAAACAGTAGTCGACTTGGTCTTCTTAGCAGCTCTGAGAATTCATCACTATTAAACATTAAACATCAGCATCTCTAGTCATCCATTTACAGACTGATGCATTTATACAAACTATTGATTAGTGATTTCCTATTGTCTCTTTTTGAGTTTTCATTGATTCTGAGATTAACAAGGGCCAACTGATAACTAATAGAATGGTACGCAATATTCTGACAGTCTTCAAAATATGTGATTAGTGGCCTGCTTGAATCACCAGGGTTAATACATCATATTTTCTCTAATTCTTATTATGTTAGCCATTCAGTTATGTTCTTGAGTCTAAAAATGTACTCATTTGGGTGTTTAATTGTCTTCCAAGCTATCGGTGCGCATTTCGCGCAGACGATGGATAAATATTAGAAAGGATTAGCCTACACTTCAGATGTGAAAACATGGCGTCACGTGATATACTATAGACTGCTACCTTACTTGAAGATCCTGAGTGAGGAGAAAATCTTATGCAATAAATTACGCTAAGAATTCTGTACACTGTAGGAACACTTTGTTCTGAAAAAAACGCTATTTATTAACTTATTATCTTATTAGATTGCTTGAGACAAATAACAATCAGTGGTTTCAGTGTCGTTTATAAATTGTGACCCAAAAGTTCACTTGTTGTCGTTATACTACCTATAAGTAGTATAAAAATACTTTTGAAATCTATTTCATTCACCAACAAACATATTAGATGAATGAAATACATTTTAGTAGGACGTAATTTTGAAGTGGAGGCTTGTAAAAAAATGGTTGATTTTGAGGTTGATTATATCACACACCAAGCTAGGATCAAACTACTGCCCAGTGTACTTGGGTTTTCAAAAGTCCCTTCTAGATGACATCAGTTCATCATGAAATCTTCAGGATGAAATATTCGTTAGCATATTATATAAAGACTGAAAAAGTTACAATGTCGATGGCCCATTGGTAGAATGCTGGCCAGCCACATAGACGGTCGAAGTTCAATTTCAAGCCAACGTAGTCCATAAACTTCGCCTAGTCTACTAGCGGACGGTAAACCCGGAAAAAGACGGGAGGTTGTTGAGCGTGAGGTTAGCAACTCCGCCGGATAAAAAAACAATACCACTGGTACAGGAACTTTAAAAGCTTGAAGTGTTGTGTTCCGTCCGGAACGAATGAAATGAAAAAAAGTGTGTGATAAACCCCAAAGTTTCTAAACTGTTCTCGTATACTAAATTTCACAATGCAAAGCAGCAGTTTAAATATACATATAGCGAAATGTTAAAATATAAACTAGTCGATGAAAGTTGTTTTTTTGAAAATCTGTTCATACATATGGAACTTACAACCATATTTATACCCTCTACTCGGAACATCCATTGATTAGGCTTTGAACGATCAATAATAGTCTTCTCGATACCAGGAATAGAAGAGACAACACTTCGATTGATAAGACGCATAATCAGTGTTTGTAAGTCGATGGGTATACGCCCTTCGATTGGATCGAACATCTAACCAACCAAAATGAAACAGTACACACAGATAAAGGTTAACGATAACAAAAAGAAGAAAAAGTTTTCTTTAAAGTTGATTGTTAATTTTACAGTCGCAATATAACGAAACAATAAAGAAATAAGGGATAATTTATCAAAATACATCAAATGACTACTAGCTATTAATTAACAGTGATTATTATTATGCCCTTGGGTTCTGAGTGTGACATAGGGTTTCAACAACACATATCCACTTTCTTTTATTTTCATCTGCCCTCTTCATCTGGCTAGCCACACAACTGCCCAAAGCTCTCATCTCCTCCTCCAACTCACACGATCCCCTCCATGTCACCGACGACCCACTTGTCGTTTCGTATAGGGGTTCCACTCTAGCGATGGTCTGCATTGTGCGCGATGTCATTCGACGGCCTCCTCAATGTATGCCCGATCCGTCTCCATTTTCTCCTGTATGTTTGTTGAACCTCACCTAGTTTACTAGCCCACTAGTTTTCTAGTCGGTCCTAAGTGCAGAAAAAGACAAGGAGGGTTGGGCGTGGAGCTAGAGACCCTACCACAGAAAACCAATCAAACGGCTATAGAAACTTCAACACACGAGAGAAACTAGGAGTCATATACTACAAAAACACTTAAACAAACAATAAACTAATTGCCTATTGACGTACGTAATACACAAATGACACGTAATTATCTTAAAACTTCCACTTATTAAATTCCAGTTGAACAGTTGAACATTATATGGAAAGACTACTACAATTATTCTTGTTAGTTAATTAGAGCAGAGTAAACGATTGAACTATTTATTATTGTTTTTATTAATCCCGTAGTCTTTAAACACCACCAATGGGAATCAGTCTCTTATCACAACACGCAGGTGTTAGTTAGTTAGTCAAGCCTATTTAACAACAAAACAATTTAATTTAAGAAATATAGAGAAAAGACTGTTATAATGAACAAATGAAATATTATACACTTGCCGTAATCAAGATGAAATCATGATTGACGTTACACAGTGAAACAGTATTGAATTTTTTATAAGTATGATTAAAAAATAGAAGCTAAAAATTATACATACAAATTACTATCAGTAGGCTTCATAAGCTACGCCCAAATATGAGTCATATATGCTTAAGTCGAGTCAAGTCAAGTCTGACTAAATCGGTAAGCGATAATGCCAAATACAACATAAAATAAAACAGTAAGATTTACCAGGACACTTTGGTATCACAGACTGCTGATGTTGTTACCGACTAGACATTAATGAAGTGTCTTTTAATTCCCCTGCCATAATGTCAGGTCACTGCCTGTATACGATTCAGATATGTGGCTCGCAGATTTTCATCAACAGTTGCCTTCATCAGCTCAACGACGACGGCGATGATCAGACGGCTGGCCAGAAATGATAAGCAACAAGGAACTCTGACAGTGAAGCCGACAAGCTATTGATTACCCAATAAATACGCAGTGAACTGGCCATACGCTGAGGGGACAAACATTCAAGTGACACTACACACACCAAGCCCTCAAGAGGATGGAGAACGGGAAAGCGACAACGGGTCAGGTGGTCAAGAGTCAAATAGAGAAGACCATGTGGAAGGGAAATGAGAGTATAGGCAGTCATGCCTCTAGTTGAAAATGATGACAGAGAACTGAGTAGAGTGGAGATGAGCCCTTAAAGCCCTATACCCCACTCAGAACGCAAGGAGTGAATAAAAATTACACCATACTATGTAAGAACATGTGTAATATATATATATATATATATATATATATATATATATATATATTATATGACCATTAAATGGGGGAAATGTGGTAAAACTAAGTCTGAAAGATGCTAAATAAGGCAACCGTACAATAATGTCTGAGAATTAACTTCACTTGTCTTTCACACCTCAATCAGAACACTATTTTGCACCTGACATCACCGAAATGAGTATTCAGAAACTTCATAGATTAGTGTGATGTTTTGGTGTCTCACTTGCGAAATACATCTGCCATTAGAGATGTACAAGGCTCTTGCATATACTTTTTGATTGCACACTAGTCAGTAACTAGTGTAATGTGTCTAGTCCTACCTTCGGTGCAGACTGAATTCTATCAGTCATGTTTGCAATGTGGCAGATACGCCTTGCTGATGAGTGCCAACTAGCACGAAACCTAGGTCCAAGGCTTCCTGCCGATTGCCTCCAACCATCTAATACCAACAATTCACTCTTGCATATACTGTCGTAGTCGTCCCACCTGTGCATACATCACCAATTGTATATTCAACCTACAAAAAACCATTGATATTGTTAGAAACTTCAAACAACTGACGACTATCGGTACGTATTCCAGATAGCATCAGTTTCAGCTGCTAGTAATCAATCCTTGAGAAGATTTATTCCGTTCATTTTGAATCTTTTTTTTAATAATGAACAAAACATAAGCAGCTATAAATACGCAATAGACTTATCGGTTCAACTTTATAAGAAAATATGTTTACCAAAGGGACGTAATTTGAATAGCTATAGAACCAGAGAGAAAAATAATAATAATAATGGTAATAAAAGATGAATTACGCAGATAAAGATCACACTAATGACTGGAGAGAAAACAAATAAATAAATAAATACAACTTACACAAATTGTAAGTCGTGCCCATTTAGGGGATGAATTTTTTCGATCGAAATCGTAACTGCTAAAACGAGCATGCAGACGTGTAACAAACTGAAGGTAAAAGAAAGAAGACCAAAACGAAGTAATATATAATTTGGTGTTAATACAGAAAAAAAAGGTTTATCAACAAAACTACCAATGCAAAAATAAGCGTATCACAGTCCAGACTGCATGGATATCAGCACAGACACAACTATTTCACCAAAATGCTTATCACGTACAACATTCAAGTACACTATCTATATATATGCATAAAAAACTCCTAATAAGCCACACAAACTCCACCTAAGGAAGCTTAAAATATAAATTACATTTGTAAACTTAACATAATTTCATTCATATACACACACATATATATCAGTAAAAGCTTCTTTAGAGGAACACAGAATTCAATTGTATTCACACCTCGTTTGATATGAAGATGTCAAACTGGTTATCAATTCTTGTAAGAGCTTTGACAAGTTGATGCAATGAACATGAAAATATCAATCAATTTTCATCTTCTGAACACCTTGAGCAGCAATCTTCGTATGTTTGGCATGCGATTCGACCCTGTAAAATGTAAGATGCTGCTACAGGACTGGACTACGTCTACCCCTAGCTTAGTGATAGGGAGTGAAGTGATAGAACATGTTGACCACTTCACCTATTTGGGAAGTTGTATCAGCACCAACGGATTGATTGGTGACGAAATCACAGCACGGATCCAAAAAGCTCGAGCTGCTTTCGCCAACTTACACCATCTCTGGCGTAGGCGTGACATCCGGCTGTCAACCAAGGGACGTGTTTACTGCTCAGCAGTTCGCTCCGTCCTTCTCTATGGCCATGAAACATGGCCAATACGAGTTGAAGATATGAAAAGGTTGACTGTTTTTGATCATATATGTTTACGATCTCTTTCTCACGTAAGGTGGTATAATAAGATAAGTAATGTTGACGTTAGGCGTAGAGTGTTGGGCAAAGAGGGAAAATCAATCGACGAGGCTATAAAGTTACATAGATTGAGATGCCTAGGTCACGTGCTGCGCATGCCTAACCATCGCCTCCCCCGACGGACGGGCATTACTAGCTGATATAGGTGCAGGTTGGAAAAGAGTAAGTGGTGGCCAAACAAAAACATGGCATCAACCAATCCATGAAATCCTTGACAGTTAAACTGAGTCAGGTAGGGAGATGTAGACTTCCGCGTTTGGGCCCTCGGGACTCTAAGAATCAATGGCTGGAGACAATAGGTGACATGGCTCAAAATCGTTGTTAATGGCGTAGATGTATTCAGTCTCTGTAATCTTTCATATTCCTTTCTGTCTGTCTGTCTGTCTGTCTGTTTTCGACATAGAACTTTGCACATATGTGCGGCAGTTCAAGTCGCCACAATCCATGTAGCAATCCATGTAGTACCATTACTCATTCTGTTTCACTGTTATACTTGTCAGAACTCTATTGATTCTCTTCACTCATCTTCTTTTCTACCTTTGTGTGCTATTTGGAACGTGGCAACTCGAACTGCTGCACTTTGGTGCCAAGTTCTATGTTGAATCCAGACAGACAGACAGAATCAATTTTCACAATAGTCTGACATGTGTAAATATCGTCAGAATATCTGGCTTCCAACTGAGCGCTGAGCGTACACTGTGTAACAGTTTGCAAAGTTCAACTATGTGGATATATGCATGATGGATGATTGCAGATGAGGAATTCGACTGCCATTACTTTTTTTTATCAGTATAACTGAGATATTAAATGAGTTAGTATTTAATTTTGCAGCATAGGAGATGTCAGGTTCAGGAGATATTTTGATATGTTATATATAAATTCGTTTACCTGAGGCAGGATATTGGCTAAAATTAATGATATGCTTTAGATAAGCTAACAAATCAACTGAACTGCCGGCATATCCATGACTGATCTCTAAAATTTTCTAAATTTACGGTTTAATACCGTAGATGATCTCAGTTAGCCGATTTTTCTGTACGCACCACAGAACAAATATTAAGGTTAAACTCCACTATGGTATTTCAAAATTACTTATGAAATACAAATTTTTAAAGTAAAAAGAAAGCGATGAGAGTGATAAATTAGTGAAAACAAAACACGTAGATCAGCGAAGAGTCTCTTTTCGGCGACGAATTCATTTTCTTAGCTGTACAATCGCAAATATATATGTGTTTATATATATATATATGTTCTGGAAACAGAATTAGATATTCTAAGAGAAATTTTCATCCAAAATGGATACCCAATATGATTCATCGACAGAAACATCAAACCAAGAATTCGGAGAAACGAAACTCTACTTGCGCCTAAAAAGAAACTCTACATGAACTTTGATTTCAAGGGAGACTTAGCAAGCGGTATTCTCAAGAGAAGGATCACATCATCTCTGAGAAGAACATTCTTTGCAGCAACCCTAAGAATAGTGTTCTCCAGTCGCCCACTGATCTGCAGAAGCCTCAAGGACAAGATTCCGCATCTGACCACTTCTATGTGCATATATTAGTTCACCTGCAGCTGTGGAGAGTCAGGTACATCGGTCGTTCGACGCACACCCTGTTCAACAGGATTCAAGAACACTATCCAGCACGGTTACGAAAATGCGATAGTGGTGCAATAAGGAGTGCGATAATTGAACACCTGGTTAACACTGATCATTCCATTTCAACAAACGCCTCCTGTTTCAAAGTAATCTACAAAGTCAAGAATAACCTATCAAAGGCAATACGGTTTCGCCTTCTTTGTATCGCTGAAGCTCTGGCCATTCACATAGAAAAACCAAAGCTGTGTATACAAACGAGAACTACTCAACCACTTCTAATGTCATGGTATTTTATTTTGATGAATTAATCTTTTTTCTTTGCCTGTTCTTTAATTGCTTATAATTGTTGTATTCATTTAGAACTCTTACGTAATTTTGTATTATCTACTTTGTTCCTATGTGCATCCTGAGTAAAACTCAATCATCAAACTATTCATATTACATAACTTCTTTTAACAACTGTTTGTGACAACTCATCACCTTTGTTACTACCCTAATTTCAATAACAACTAATTTTCTTGACTGATTTTGTATTACGCAACTCCAATTACCAATCTTCACCTGTTTAGTTAAAATAACTATAACCAACTGTAATTTTGTTTGATAAACTTAATGTACACATACATACAAAATAACACATATATATTTGCGATTGTACAGCTAAGAAAATGAAATCGCCGAAAAGAGACTTTTCACTGATCTATGTGTTTTGTTTTCATTAATGCCTGGATGGGGATTATACATGAAGTGATAAATTAAGCAAAAATAAATGAAGAATTACTGTAATGCGTTTATGAACTTCATCTTGGCTTATTGCATTCTCATTTTCAACATTTTGCTCAACAACATTCTCCTGGATTAATTCTTGTTCATCATCAACATCCGATTGACGAGATTCAGGATCTCCAGTCCACTGAACAAAATCATCAGGGCTTGTATCTTTCGGCTTAGTTGTTTTACTTCCAGATTTTGTAGGATTTTGCAGCAGCTTTTTTAGCTTACTAGATGGAGATAAATCATTCCATAGCCAATTGTCATTTTCATCTTGTTCATCCTCGGCATCATCTTTATCTTGATCACGTCCAATTTCATGTAGTTCTGCTGCCTCAGCATCATCTTCATCATCATCTAAAACTAAATCGACTAGTTCATCTACGTCTTCTGTGTGTTTGCGACGATTAACATCTGCTGCACCAATATCATCTTCTTCTGCGTTTGCTTCTAGACGTCGGCGTCTGATTGCCTGAAGAGAAAAAATAAAAACAAGAGTAAACAAAATATCAATTGAACTCTTTCACCTGAAAAATGTAACCTGATTAAGTTAGTTGAAATGTCGCCTAACAATTTTGAAAAAAAATAATATTTAATAGCCGAAGGGATTAGTGATAATTATTCACATAAATGATAAACAACATGGGTACAGCTTTATTGCTTGTGTTTATTTTTAAGAAGACAAAGATATATATATCCCTTCCACAGACTGAACATTATACTAACTAATTAACTATATTGGGAAGTAACAGTAAACTGGCGGCTATGATTGAAAAGGATAAAAGAGGCACTCTTCAATAAAGTGTTAGCTGAAGCACTGTCAGGTTGCAAACAAATTCTACCCAGGAGGCCAAACTGAGACAAAATCACAGCCTATGAGTGTCATTGACTATTAATCCAAAGAGTATACATAATTGAAGCTCAGTGGGATGATAGAATTAAATAGTTAGAGACTTTAGGGTAATATGAATTCAGCAGAGACATATGTACACTCATCCTTTATTCTCCTCTAAACTGTAATAAAGTGCGCCGGTGGCATAGCGGTTTGGACGCTCGCCGACCATACACATGGTCCGGGGTTCGATCCCCGGCCACTGACGCACTCCTTTACCTCGCTAAGCCAGAACTAAAGCTGGTGAAGAGGAAAGGTTGGACATGAGGCTAGCAACCCCATCCTGTAAAAATAAACACTGCTGCAGAAACTTCAAGCTAGAGCTTCAAGCTATGTTCCACTGGGAACGTGAAGGAATAAAAAAACTGTAATAGTGTTTAATTCAGTTGCTTTTCTCTTCTATTCTTTTTATTATGTGAAATCTTTTGACTTTTAAAATATAATTTTATTTTTGTTTCCTCATTTAGTATGCTCTACTTCATGGTGGCCTGCTTGAATCTCTGGGCTACCTGAATTTCTATCCGAGACAATGTATCCCATTTGTTTTTTAGTTCTTGATGTTATAATCATTCAGTTATATCTGTAGGTGTCCAAATATACTCGTGAACATTTTCAATTGGTTTGCAGACTATCGTTGAACATTTCTGTGGGACCGAAAAAAACCCACCGTAGTGGATTATTTTATGCTTCAGATCTAACATCACACTGCGTCACATGATCTACTGGAGATGGCTGTGTTTTACTTGAAACTCCTGGATGAGAGTACAAAAAATATTACGATACAACCTTTGTCATTGTAAACGTAGGATATAATATGAAAGTAAAATTCTTCATTTTTTCAAGTGAAGAAACAACTTGGAGTGAATCACAGAAATCTCATATTCTCCATTAAAAAAACCTCATACCTCATAACCATCATCTTCATTCCATTCATCTTGAGCACGAGTTCTACCTGCACCGGGTTGATTCATAATTTCCTTATCATTATCCTCAGTAGGTTCTTGTGAAGCCTTTTTCTGACCAGCTTGTTGTTCACGTGCCAAAGCAGATAAAGCGAAACTTTTTATAAGGCTAAATAAATATCAAAACAACAACAAAAATAAGATGAAATTGTAAACTGATAAGAAATGGTCAGCATGCAAAAATTAACACCAAGAAAAACAAGAATTTTTTTCTTAGTGAAGCTTATCAAATGTGTAAAATTAAAATATCAGCGATGAATATGAAAAAGTAATTAGAAGTAGAAGCAAATAAATACAACTATAAAGTTAGTAAATATGGGCAAACGAAATGCGACTTAAATGCAGTTGAAACACTGAAAGAAAGAAATTATCCAAGGCAAACAGAAAATACTTTTGGGCTTAAACTTTAGTAATTTGGTAACAGAGAATAAATGATTCAGCGAAGAGACTCTTTTCAACGAATTTATCATCAAGCTGTACAATCGTATATATATGGTTTTTTAAGAAGTTATATCCGGTGAGGGAATTAAATCATAGGTGTGAATGCATAAAATAATAATAATATGAAATGCAATTAAAACTAAAATGTTTGTGATTATAATCATAGTTAAATGTCAAGTGGCAAAGCAAATTAATGTCATGTATAGAATAATTCATAGGATGGATAGAACTTGAAAAAGGTTGTGCAATTATAAGATTAGTAGACAAATCGAATAAAATAAAAACGTTACGTACTATTGTGTGAAATTTAATAGCATAGAATTTAATGTTGTAAAAAGGAATTGATTTAAAATGACAAGTGGAACAAGTGAAATAATACCGGGGACAGTTAAAAGTGAGAGTAGTAATAGTAACAATTGACGTAATAAGGAAGAGTATACAAATTGAATAGACAAAAATGAAGAAATGAAAAATTGGTGGAGCTAAAATATGATTGGGGATTACCATACTTTAGCATAGAGAGATTAAGACCATGAGAGTTGGAGGGGTTGAACGAACTTTTTCTGTACACAGAGATCTGGCTTTTCTGTTTCGATAGCCAAAGCTTCAGCAATACAGATGAGTCGGGTACGTAGGGATTTGGGTAAATTACTCTTTGCCTTGTAGATGACTTTAAAGGTGGAGGCTGTAGAGATAGGATGATCAGTATCGACCAGATGTTCAATGATCGCGCTTCTCATCGCTCCACTTCCACGTCTTCGTAACCATGCAGGATAGTGTTCTTGCACCCTCTTGGACAAAACTCGAGTCGAACGACCGATATACCTAGCTCCACACGAGCAGGTGAATTGATAAACGCACATAGAGTTGGTCAACATCGGGATCTTGTCCTTCAGGTTATTGAACAGTAATGGTCGACTAGTAAAGGCTATTCTCAGAGATACAGCAGGGAATGTTCTTTTCAGGGACTGTGATATCCTTCGTTTCATGATATCGGAAGCTAAGTCCCTTTTGAATTCCAAGCTCATGTAAAGTAATTTCACGTTTTTTAGGATTTGAATGTATATTCTTATCTATAAAACGTGGTGGAAATCTATTTTCTATTAGGATTTTTCTCAAGATGTATAACAGAGAATAAGACGTTTTGTTGTACACTTCGTTACAAACAGGAAATCAATTCAAGGATAATTAAAAGCAGGGGAATACTGAGCAAGTGTTTTGTCCTAGTGTAGGACTCTTGAGTAGTAACGAAGCGACCACTACCCTAGCGCAGACTGAATCCATGAGCACCAGAGTACAAGGCCAACACAGCATCGTTCAGTCACTGGATTGGTTCATGAATTCCAGCATTTGAGTAGAAAAATTATTCATGAGAACTTTTGAATCTTCTGCTATTTGATTTTACTGAATCAAAATACTCAGTCTCTGTTAAGCATATTGGCTCCTGGTGTAGAAGCTTCAATGATACCTGGAGGTGAAACTTAACAATAATTGGTTGTTGTCTAGCAGTGGAATCCAGAAGGCCTGCTTCATCTTATGTAAGACTCACCAGCTAAATTTCAATGAGTGATTGTGTTCCCATTGAGACTCAAATCCAGAACCGATAAAATCAAAACGCCAAAGTGATATTCAGGACAGACGGCTAGTGTACGACGGGTATCAGTTGTTATTTATTGAAACTATTAAATTTCTTATTGTTTGATTTTACCGGACTAAGATGCCCGATTTCTGCTGGCGTACTGCCGATGATTCCCAAACTAGGCTGACGAGACAGCTGTCCAGTAAGTACTCCCTGGTTTTCAATGGTTCTCTAACTGTTATCAACCCATGGTCAAACTCGTAAAAACGAACTTACAAACCAACTCTTGAAAATTAATCTGATGCGCACTAGTGACTTGCTACAGGACGGAGTTTCCTGGAGTTCTAGTGAGAAGTTGTGACCAGTGAGGTCCAACCAGTCAAGTGTGAGGATGGATTTCCCACCGATGACATCGGTTGGTGGTCGCGCTAAACTATCACGAATTGGTAGAAGTTAGAATTCATGGGCCACTGAGTCGGATCCCAGTGGCTGAATGGTCGTAAAGGAACTCGTCTTGTAACCAGAAGGTCCTGGGTTAAAGCCATGGTGGTGTGTGAATACTGCCGATGATTCCCGTACTAGGATGAAACAGCTGTCTAGCAGTACTCTCTGGTTTTCAATGGTTCTCTAACTGATATCAATCCGTGGTCAAACTCGTAAAAACAAATTGAATATAATATAGTGACAAAACACTTGAACTCTCAGAGATGTCTCATTGGCTTTAAGATTTAACTTCTACTCAGTGAGTCCTGAGTTTGAATCCAGTGTTGTGTATCACAAATCGTCTGAAGTTACAATTTATTAACTATTGGATTCTATCTCACTGGTTGAATGGTCAAAGAGGAGATCGCTCCGTCCTGGGTTTGATTCTTGTTAGGGTTATGGGTGCATACCAACCACTGAAGAGTCCCAAACTGGGACAAAACGCCTCATTAGTACTCCCCGATTTTAATAGTTCCCTAGCTGGTATCAATCTGTGATCAGATCAGTAAGTAATACATTTGCATAAGATTAAAAAAATTTATGCATCCAGTTATATATTTTTTGCTTTATAATCAGTAGAGTCTGTATCGCTTAAATAAAACTCAGAGGTTATATGTTAGCAGAAGTAGCGTGAAACTTGCATCATTTCCTTTTAAATTTAAATTACACAGGGAAACTAATAAATATATAAGACAAATGGATACCTTGTTTTTCCTTGGTCTTTTAATTCCTCATTAAGTCGATGAGCCAAATCTGGAAAAAGAACACGTTCAAGAAAACGTAAAACACGAGCAGGTGTAACATTACTATGCTCAGAATACGCTGATCTTGGTTGTAAATTAAATTCAAGTGTACAAGAATCTGACACATAATTAACCTTTTGACCAATAGGGAGTCGCAAAGCCTATAACACAAGAAATAGAAAAAGCCACATTAGTAATATACGCGTGAGGGAATGGTACGGCTTTCATTTTCTTAAAATTAATGGTTTCCTTACCTCAGATAACTTGAGTTTGTAAAATTTCTTGGCTACCTGTTCACTAAGTTGTTGAGCTTCCTTCGTAGGCCAAATAGGGACTTCCATACATGGAGTGCTTATATTCGGTGATCCAGACATCAGAATTTCTCGAAGACGTGGTATTCCCAGTGTTACATTCATCTCACCACGACCGGCGAAATGGAATGTATTCAGTGTCATCTGAGTTGAAGGTTCTCCAACTGACTGGGCTGCCAATAAACCGACCGGATCACCAGGTGGAGCTTGAGCATTAATAATTTTCGCTAAACACAAATCCCGTAACTCAGCTGCAGCAGTACATGGTGGATCAGGAAGTTTTGCACTCATCAAGTTGTTCTTCTTTTTAGCTTCAGTCTTCTTTAATACTTTTTCAGCTGATTCACTACTCCGGAGAATTTTTAAAAGTTTGTGCTCTGATACGGTTTTATGGAGAATCTAAAGTTATAAATAAATATAAATATATGGAGGAACAATCAAATTCTATTGGATATTATAAATCGCAAAGAGTGAATGCGTCTGCACTAACCATTGAGAACGATTTTGAGCCATATGACCAATTGTCTCCAGCCTTCATTGGTTCTTACCAACCCGACGACCCTAACCAGACAGCAGTCTACATCTCCCGATGTGGCTTAAACAAACTGTTGTGGATTTCACTGACTGATGAGGTTTAACTTCACAAACTAATCGATTGATTTCTTCTTCTTACCTAGCACTCGACGCCTAACCACAATATTGCTCACCCTATTATACTACTTAACACGGGAGACAGAATGCAGAAACCTATGCTCAAAGACAGATACCTAGCCTTTTCATGTCTTCCGCTTTCAGTGACCATGCCTCACAACAATTAAGGAGGATGGAGAAAAGTGATGCTGAGCAGTACACACGCCTTTCGGTGACAGCTGGTCGGATATCACGTCTACGCCAGAGACGGCGTAAGATGGCATTTGTCAAACGAGCCTTCTGTATCCGTACTGAGATTTCGTCAGCGATCAAACCATTGGGGCTGATGCAACTCCCCAAATAAGTGAAGTGGTCAACACACTCCATCAGCCACTTCACTCTTGCCTATCTTTAACCTAGAAGTGAGTCGATGTAGAACAGCCCAGCCCTGTAGCATCATCTTACATTTGACAAGAGGGCGTGAATCACATGCCAAACATTAGAAGATTGCTCCTCAAAGTGATCAGAAGACTGCATTTTGTGAGCATCTTCACCTAGAAGGACTATATCATATATATACTCTATATCAACGAAGTTATTCCCTGGTAACAAGTCAATCCCTGAGTCGCTGAAGTCAGTTACAGCTAAGTTTATTAGTACATCTATGATGAAATTAATCAGAAATGGGGACAGTGGGTCTCCCTGACAGATACCACTGGTTATCATCACTTCAGATGACAACTCTCCGTAGGCTCTCACCTAGCTGCATAAGTTCAAGTAGATTCCCTTGGTCAGTGCGATGTATTTTTTCGGGTTTCCTTTAACAGCCAAATATCGCCATAGCATTTCTCAGTCGACGGAATCGAACGCCAGTTGAATTAGTTTAACGCGTTATCTTCACTACTGTGTGTAAGTAAGCTGTGACGAAAGTATTTGAAAAATCATTCATACATCTTAAGCAGATTAAATTCAGCACGCATCGCTGCATCATAGTCTTCCATTGATGAAAACCAACAAGTTAGCTGAAAGCGCAGAGAAGACAGGACTCCAAATGAATATAGAGAAGATAGAGGTGATGAAGACAACCGACCAACAACAATAACAAGCACCAATCACTATCAAACGGAAGGAATTTTTAAAAAAAGGAGGTTACTTCTCTCACTTATTTAGGCAGAATCATTTCGACTACAGACGGCACGGATGACCAGGATTGGAAAAGCAAAACAGACATTCATTACTCAGAGATTAGTGTGCAAATCTGCTGCAATCAGCATAAGGAATAAAATTCAAACTTTCAACACTCGTGTCTAATCAGTGTTTCTATATGGTTCAGAGATACTTGACGCACGCGTCGCCAAAAGCATTTTCAATAGACTGTTGCAGACTTTCGCCAACAGCTACCTTTGTTGAATCCATATTAACGATCAGGCGGCCGAAAAGGATAAGCAACAAGGAACTGCTCTAAGAACGAACCATCCAATAACCTATTTCCTAACAAATATGTCGAAGGGAGTGGAGATGTATAGGACACACGCGGAGAAGACTGTTGTTGAGTGACCACGTGGACCACGCCAGCCCTCGAGTGGAACCCGAATGGGAAACGGCGAGTTGGGAGTCTGAAGGTCATGAACTGGATGAGATCGAGTGAGGAAGAAATGAAAACCTATGGGTGGCAATCATTGAATCAGCTGTAGAGAACTGCAAAGAATAGGATGAAATGGAGATGTACTCCTGCAGCCTTATGTTCCACTGAGAACCCAAGGGAATAATAATAATAATTACTGATGAAATAAAAAAGACGAAGAATTATGAAGCTGGTCACAACCTGATATAGATAGCTACCAATTAAGCGATACACTTGGGATCGCGATGAATTTAGTTAACTGGCATAACTGTTTCGTGAAGTTTTAGCATATCAGAAGAGCAGTTAGAGTAGAGGAAAAGCTACAGTTGATTCAATACGACGTTAAGGATGAATCTCAGCTTTTCCCTGCAGTAGGTACGGTGACAATAATAAGTTGTTTACTTCGGACAACCAGCATTTCAACTAAACTAGCTTCTTACTTCAAGAAGGAGGTGTTCGGAAAATTCAGTTCCGAAAAAATGAACTCTAACTTATTCTACAGCTAAAGTGAACGTGGTGAACATGGTGTACAAATCCTACAACGAAAGCTAGTCAACAAATACTGCCAAGTAGAAGGTTTAAATTATAGATAATCATTAGTTTGTTTTCATTTAAGAAAAGAAAGAGACGCCTAGTTCGCTTATATGCAGCCTGACATAAAACGAAAGTCTTTAGGAATACTTTGACGTTATCGATAAACGGCAACAAAAAAGACGTGTAGAGATTTTGAGAAGTCTTATTTAAAAGAGCTTGAATTTTGAAAAGATTGTTACTGAAAAATTATTCGATATTCTCTATGATTTGCTATTTACCTTTGACGAAGACCACTCAGGGAATATCGAACGATTTCGATGCTCATTCTAAAATATATCCCTTCTCTATTTCATCAAGAGTTACTACGTGAGTTTACCACAACTTGACTCTTCATTAACAGAACCAAAAGAAGGGTGGTTGTCGATTCTGTAGGCTCTAGACATGCTAATAATAATACGCCAGAAAGGAAAAGCAACAAGGAAGTCTGGGAACGAACTAACCTACAATTTATCACCCAACAACTATACAGAAGAAAATGAGGATGGATTGGATATATGCTGAGACCATTGAATAGCAGCACACGTTAGACCCTCCGGTGGAACATGGGAGACGACGAATTGGGTATAATTTCGAGAATGACATGGAGAGGTCTACATGAGGAAAAAATAAAAGCGTATGCGGAATCCTGAAGACAGCTAAAAAGACTTCAGACAACAAAGAGACATGGAGATGTGCTGCTTTAAGCCCTATATTCTAATGGGAACACCTAAGGAACGAATAGTGAGAAATTTATTTTCAAGTATTGGTTTTTGTAAGGATTAAGTTTGATTGGTTGGAGGATTTCATCATGAGCTGACCTCAGTTAGAGAACTATTGGAAAACCTGCAGGGAGTACTGGACAGCTGTTTCGCCAACCTAGTTTGGGACTCTTCATCAGTACGCACCCACCACAGGAGGTTCGAACCCAGGACCCCCGGTTACAAGGCTGCCGAGCTTGTAGACCATTCATGACCACAGGGACCCGATCTAATGGCCAGTTAACTTCTGTCAATTCATAACATAGAGCCACCACTTCGCAATATCTTCTTCGATGAGTTATATATTTTTCGTCATGCATTGGAGAACCTTCAAATAAATAATATCACCTAAGAAACTAATTACATCACTAAATCAATGTTTAATAATAATATTATCATTTCGAATACTTAACCTACACTTTGTCGTTTAACTCCAACTTGATCTGCAATGATTTGTATAGGCTTGGGAAGGGGATTTTTCTCAAACAAGTGAGCACACGCTGGATTCTGTGGATTAATTTTATCACAATGCCAACGGATTTTCATAAGGTTGACATTATCAGCAAAGAAATGCAAACCTGTTGGCTGTAAAAATGCAGCTTGACAAACATCCATTCCGTCATCTCCATATCGGAATTGAATAACATTAGAACCTGAATCTCTGACTGTACCATCATAACGAATACTTAAATCCTAGAAATAATAATAATACGATTTTTTCAAAACAGCATGATATAAAAAGAAGTACAGAAAGTTGATTGCAAAATTTAGTTTGAGTTACATAATGGAATTACACTAAAAACATTAAAATAATGTAATTAAACAAATATTTATGTGAGATAGAGAATCTTTTAAACTAAATCATTAGATCTGTCTAGTTGCGCTTTCTTTTTCTTGACTCAACACGTATCACCGTAGCACCACCGTGAAGGATATTGATATAACTCACTTTAACACAATATGATGATCAGTAATATATTGTTTGAACACACAAATGAAGTTGATCTATGCATAACTCGGCATCAATATATGTGTAAAACTTGGGTACTGTGGAAGTATGTCATTCCATATATTAATTTTGAACACAATTTATTGTTCATAATCATATCAATCGTAACTATACAACTTCGAAGCTTGATTTTTACAGTTCTCTTTCTTCCTTTCCATTTGTTTTAGTGGTTGTTGAGTTTTTCAGATCTCCGGGACAGGTGTTGAATCATTTCTATTACATGTATATCAAGTTGATTCGATAAATAAAGCTTCCATTATCAACCTCCTACTCTCCATCCTGTTATATTAGACCTTAAGACTGTCTGTCATCTTATCCTCTCCTATTGTTTGGCTGTATGTAATGGCATACAGTCTTATAGCTGAGGCATCCTATTAAAATTAAGTAATCTAAATTTCGCTAGGTCTTTGTGCTCTTCTAATCTAACTGATCTTGTACTAATGTAACGAGAGAAGACAATGACCAGGCAACAGATCGTTTATTGAGAAAATCAACACATATTTATAGATTTTTATGCACATTATTGTCAGTGGAGAAACAACGTCTTCTGATTGGTTGTTTTCTTGCTGAAGGTTACTCTGTACTGCTTGTGACCATTTCTTAGAAAGTTAAGCCATAATATACCTGCGAATCGTATCTGCACACGTTAAGTCTGCTGTGATCTGTTGGTGAGTTTCTCAGGGTTAGGCTTTGTTCTTATTTCTTCTCATGACCCCGATTCGGGACGTAAACATTGACGTAAATTGCTGTCTGCCAATTTTGGCTTGCAGACAGCTCTCACAACACCAATACTTTGGTTTTATTTTCATTTTAGGGTATAACATAAACTAAATTATTTTGTTCAATCAGCTCTACAGGATCCTCTGACCGACTTAATTAGTTTCCAAATGAGTTTTTGAGATTGAATGTCACTTTTATTCCTGCTTCGTTAAAAATTCTATATATAAGGTCTCAAAGGTTCATTCCCTCTTTGCATGGAAGTACTACTAACATCCTGTGCTATAAAAATCAAGTTTCGAAGTTGTCTAATTACGATCGATATGATTATGAACAGTAAATTGTGTTTGAAACATCATGAACAAATTATTATATGGAAGTATACATATGCAATTTAATCTTGTTGATTTGTTTAACAGCCGTGTGAAAATAAAGTGAATAAATAAAATATACAATAATTTAATTGTTTTCTATAGTGAATTAGTGACGACAGACAGTCACACGAATTACATCACTACAAACATGTGATCACGACGTATTTTTCAAATAATACTCTCCTCCTACTGAAATAGTAATTTTAATTTTAATTATCACAATATCATATTTTTCACTAAAACAAAAAAATACCTAAGCTTACAATGTACCTAAGCATGGACCATGTTTTAAAAAAAATCCCTCTTAATAGTGAGAAAACACGAAATGCATCAATTTCATTTATATAACTCCCTTAGATAAAAAAATTTCAAAAATTGTGAATCAGTATTGTCGTCCATTATTGGGCAAGTTTTATGGATGGACGATAAACATTTATGCAACCGCCTTACATAATTTGCTCTATGCTCCAGTAATTAACAGGTATTGTTTACAGGGATTCAGGACTTCCTCATGAAGTGACACCGGTTAGAGGACCATTGGAAAACCAGCACACTGGAGTACTGGGCAGCTGTAATTGTCCTATAGTTTGGGGCTGTTCACAGTACGCGGCCACCACAGGAAGTTTAAACCCAGAACCTTCTGGTTACAACAAGGCGACCTCGTAGACCATTAAACCACTGGGACCCGATCCAATGGCCAATCCATGAATTCCAACTTCTGCTAATTCATGATATGACGCGACCATTAGCGAATGTCATCCGTGGCGAGTATTTGTCCTCACACCAGACCTGCTGTACCCCACTGGTCACGACTTCCCACTAGAATCCAGGTAACCACCTACCTGAATATGGCCAGTCACTAGTGGGCAACAGATTGATATTCAAGTATTAGTTTGTAGGGATTTGAATGGTTTCAGGATTTCATCATGGACAGGTATAAAATCTCTTAGGCACCTGACTTTTAGTCACTGGGTCCATACCTCCAAATGTAAAAACTTACACCATTTAAAATAAACAGAAACAAACCTCTAAATGCTTGATAGCTGATCTTTGCAAGTAGCCTGATCGACTTGTTTTCACAGCCGTATCAACAAGACCATCTCGACCTGCCATTGAATGGAAAAATAATTCTTGAGCAGGAAGTGAAGTCAGAAACCGAGCAGTGCACATACCACCAGCTCGAGGACGTACATCATATGCAGGAAATGATGGTAAAGTTTTACCACTTAACATAAGTGGTACACGACGACCTTCCAACTCTATCTGACCCAAAGCAACTGACATCTGTTGAGCGTTAACCTTTAAAATAACCACACACAAAAAAATGTGAATCAAACAAAATTTACCGGAATTCAGATTTTATTCACAGTTCATTAAAATACAGTACAAAAGCGTATACCATTCATTGTGGAAATAAGACGGCTAAGCTAATCAGATCTACTCCAATGGACATTCTGTATCACATCAGAATACATAAAAAAGTAGAGAAATAACGTAAAACTAAAGGATAACAGCATAAGCAAGTGAGCAGATCCAAAAAACTTTCCCCACACACACCCTGTATACTACTTCCGACAGTAACTGGAGTATATTTTTCACTGATTTTCTTCACGATTTAAGTAGCCCAACAGTTACCACATATACATACATACCCGGTGTGAAAAAGTTTTCCTCAGAAGAAAAATCTAAAACAACCAAGCAACTTCAGACTTGACCCAAGACAGTCGCCAACAGGCGAAGAGTCAAGGAAAAAGAAGAGCGACCTAAATAATCCTGTCTAATTCGACTGGTAATTTATAGAACTATGCTCAAAGCTCATTGTTACCCTATACCTATCTAATATGTCCTGTATAGGGTCTTTAAAATGTTGATGAACTTATTCAAAGAATACTGCTCGAATTGACAATTACAAAACGTCGTTCGGGGTGCAGGATAACTAGTTATCAAGAATATTGAATAAAATCAGAATTTTTCGTTTTAGTTCGTATGGGGCCTCAGTGACTGACTAACATGAAGTCTAACACACAACATAACACAGTGAAAACAAAAAACTACATTTCCATGACCAATCACAGTGTTCGAAACAGGCTCTCCTTGGCTCATTTCGCATTCTAAAGTCCATATGTGAAAATTGGTTTGAAGTTAAGATTTTAAAGCGTTCCTACCTAGTAATCCAGTGATGAGAACTGAACATTTGAATTTTATCCTTTTACTTTTATGACTGATATTATTAGGGATATCATCATGCGAATAGCAAGTATTGGGATTAGATCACTAATCAAATTTAATAACCCTAACGTCTCTTAAAAAACAGGTATATTTTGAAATAACGAAATCGGTACGCTATATAATCAAGCCACTCATATAAATTATTGACTTTAAATTTTACTACTATTTAAACACAAGTAGTATGAGATTTTATTGGACATTCTCATCACTGGTCAAAATAACAGTAAACAAAAACAGAATTGATGCCACATCGCTGTATGATAAAGCAGATGCACCAACTCGTACACGCATTCCAATATTACATGTTGCCACTGATGATTTTAATACTTCGACAGCAAAGCTGCTGGACTTTGAAATAGACTGATGAAGGTTTAAATCTCAAATGATTCAAATTAGTCTTAATATTATCACATAACAATCGGTTCCCTTGATTAGTGTGAACACAGAAAGAACAAAAATATTCTCAGGATAATATGAACTTGTTTTATTCCACAGACTCAGATAAGCTTCAGAAACTGACATGGAAAACAAGTTCGTGTTATACTGGAAATATGTTCGTTTTTTCTTTGTTTCAAGTCTTAATGATTGGCACCAACCAAGAAGTGAGAAATCTGAGTAAAGGATTTTTTAAGAATTAACTCCTCTGAGAATGTAACGTCAAATGATAATTCACCATAGGATGATGCTGCTTCGATTAATAATTAAATTGCATAAATGGTGAAAAGAATTCGACCGAGGTTCTTAAGATATCTAAAGAACTAAACTGTTTGTCATAAGGCCTGCAGATAACCAGTTAAAAAATTAAATGTTCGTTCAAGCATAATAAGATAACACCAAGGACTAATTCTAGACATCATGACAAATAAGATGTTACAGCTTTTTAGGTGGCGTATTGATGAAACAAAAAAGCAGGGAAATCATTTCTAAGATCCGCTTACCATACCACCTTTGGCACCAACATGGACCATAAGTTGCAGGTTGTTTTCCGGAAAACCTACATATAAGCCTCCCGGAATAGCAGAATCACAGACTGCATCTTGTGCCCTTTTCAAACGATCTTTAATTGCCACATCTAGTTGGGCAAGACGTTTTTGAGATGACTGATCCGTGGGTGGAGGGAATTGAGCTTGCCGGTACAAACTTCTAACATTAGACTCAGTAAGCTGCTCAGGTTTCAAATTAAATGCATCTGCAAATGCACAAAGACCAAGATCCCTGAGATTGCTGAAACGACGATCTCTTTCTTTATCAGCCCGTTTTGAAAGCAAAATATCTTTTATTCCCATGGTAAAAGCTATGAATTTTAAAAACCGATTGGCTAATAGGCAGATTCCGTTCAATAGACAAGAAGCAGATTCCGGTCCATAAGCTTCGTATACACAATGTACTAAACCTGTACTACTGGAACCAATATGTGCCTTATCCAACATACCAGACACAAGATAGCCATCACACACAACCAAATCAACATCAGAAAGTGGTGTTGGACCTCCAGGAGCGACTCCAGACCAAAGTTCGGCTTTAGTTCGACGACCTCTAAGAGTAGCATTCAGTGGTAATAAACCCGGAGGTGTTAAATTTATCAGCAGTGTTGAAATAACCTAAAATAAAGAAAATAAGAATATATAGTACAACATTAATCAATGTTTGATGTAAAATATTGGATTTTTAGTTCATCACTGGGTGAAAAAGAGGGGTGATTTAGTTCATTCAACTGTTGATTATTATTTCTAATGATTTTAATGACATTCCAATACTCTTCATTATTCGTAAACATCTATTCACATTGGTTACAGGATTTCATCATGAGCTGACATTGGTTAGAGAACCATTGGAAAACCAGCACTGGAGTACAGTTGTTTCGTCGTAGTTTGGGACTCTTCATCAGTACGCACCCATCGGGGTTCGAACCCAGGACCTTCTGGTTACAAGGCGAGCTAGCTCGTAGACCATTAAGCCACTGGGATCCGATGAAATGGCCAGTCCATGAATTCTAAATTCTGCCAATTCACGACATAGCGCGACCGCTAGCCAATGTCTTCGGCGAGTATTTGTCCTCACACCCGACCTGCTGCACCCTAATGCTCACGACTTCCCACTGGAACCCCAGGTAACTACCTACCTGAATAGGGCCAGTCGCCACTGAGCATCTCATTGATATTCACCTATTGGTTTGTAGGGATTTGGTTGATTGGTCACAGCATTTCATCATGAGCTGACATTGTCCAGTACTCCCAGGTTTTCTAATGGTTCCCTAACCAATGTCAGCTCATGATGAAATCCTGTAACCAATCAACCAAATCCCTACAAACCAATACTTGAATATCAATGAGATGCTCACTGGCGACTAGCCTTATTCAGGTAGTTGGTTACCTAGGGTCTTAGTGGGAAGTCGTAATCAGTGGGGTGCAGCAGGTCCGGTGTGAGGACAAATACTCACCGAAGACATTGGTTAGCGGTTGCGCTATATCGTGAACCGGCAGAAGTTAGAATTCATGCTCTAGCCATTGGATTGGTGGGTCCCAGTGGCTTAATGGTCTACGAGTTTGCTGGCCTTGTAACCAGAAGGTCCTGGGTTCGTATCCCTGTGGGTGCGTACTGATAAAGAGTCCCAAACTGGAATGAAGCGGCTGTCTAGTACTCCCAGGTTTTCTAATGGTTCTCTAACCAATGTCAGCTCATGATGAAATCCTGTAACCAATCAACCAAATCCCTACAAACCAATACTTGAATATCTATTCATATTGTCAACAACCGCCAAGAGGAAGAGAGAATGGCGGGGAGTATTACAATAAATTCATTCAGTGGCGTATACAACCACACGCGAAACCATGTATTCAGCTTAGCAAACCATCAGTACATACGTATACAAATGCACACACACACAATATTGAATCTGTTTAGACAAGTTATTTCACCTGTTGATGAAAATGAAATCAAGCCGATAGCTGATACTTCAACGTGGTGGTCACACTTGCATATCTCAATGATTCAACGAGTCACACTGGCTGGAACTAATGTTCCTGCATGTCCTGTCATGACAGAAAGGTTGTTTGCATAGCGATTAGACTAAAAGCAGTTACCGTCATAGGTGTATGTTGAGAGTCTGTGGACGATATCATACTATGGGAGAACAGGGATGTAACAGCAGTAAGGTTTTTCTCTCAGATGACCAGTGGAGGAGGGGGTTAGAAAATGTTAACCCCGAAAATTGTACATCACGACTTATCTTTCAGCGGTTCGAAACCGACGGCAAGATCCTAATACGGACAAAACCTCAAAAAACCAATTCAAACAGGTCGTGTGTGACCGACTCGAAGCAGTTGTCTCCTGGGCTCTGCGGTCAGTAATGCTCTTTTCTGTTCCAGGTAGCCCAAGAAGAGTCAGTCAGTCAGTCAAAGGGAGTAAACACAAATCACTAACTACATATTACAAGGAAACTAACTCTTACAACTTCTGGATGCAGATTACTTGACTTTACACTTTTATAGTTGAGATAGGATTCCGATTACAATGAAGATATGTTACTTATAATAAAATGCATTGTGCAGCAGAGTTACACATCTTCTTAGGAGAAATGTGTTGTTGAACTTATTAGATTACATATCTAGAGTATTATTCTTTCATATCTGAAAGTACATATTGATCAATCACTGCAAAATAGCTGAAGCCCTTCTGTTTAATCCGAAATGCGAATCAGAAGGACCTCTTATCAACTACTTCTAATTACGAGTTTGACCACGGATTGATATCAGTTAGAGAACCATTGAAAACCAGGGAGTACTGGACAGCTTTTTCATCCTAGTTTGGGAATCATCGGCAGTACGCACCCACTGGGGTTCGATGAAGCCAAACTAAGTGTGCAGCAACGATAATTACTTTAGCTTAGTGACAGCTTTACAGACTCGGTCGATAGAGTCGCTTCACTGTAAAGAACTAGCTATGATGATACTAAACCCTGTTTTAACCAAAGTTAGTAGGAAGACGACCTGCGTAATGATAGCACCAAAAGATATGAGTTTATGTATGAAGTTAAGGATTTTTCCCTTAAAAAAAGTGATGCAAACGAAATCTAGAATTAAATTTTTCTGCTAAACACCTAGAAGTAAATACTGAACATCACTAACATTACGCTATAGCATGTGCCTTGGGGCGGGGATAAAATCTTCATCATGCCGTACTACAGCATTCAGGTAACACAGTAAGCAGTTAATGTTTTGTAGAAGGAGATTAAGTTAGCGAATACATACACGTCTTGATGTTGACCGAACTGGTGATCTTCTCAACGATGAAGACTGAAAGCCTGCATGAAACTCTGAAATCAACAGCTTCAACGATATGTACTGACGAAGGAAAATGGGTGAACAATGATAAGCCTTACAAGAAGGAGATAGAAAGTCATTAAATATGAAGTAAATATGAAATGATACATGTTTCAAAATATGCAGAACTTGAATATCGAGCGTGAGAGTATTAAGGTTAGTCAGTGTAAAACAAACAACTTTATACAAAATAATATCCAATGTTCTCTAATTACTAAATTTATAAACTAAACTTAATACCACTTAAACGAGATTGATTGACTAACTCAGCAGTACAGAGGTTTTATGCAATAAATGAACTAAATCACGACATAGATGAAATAAATGGCAAAAGCTATAACAACAATATATACTTATTAAGTACCTGTTTTCCAGTCCAAAGACGTTTGGGCCAACATATTGCAGGTTTAAGTGTAATGATAGATGGTGGGCCATGAGATGTTTGTCTGTTGGTAGTGAATATTGGACGAAGAGCATGATAAACAATATCTAAGTAGTCAGCATGTTCAAAAAATCGGTCACGCATTGTTAGCTTAACTGCAGCTATAACATGGTCTTGAATAAGCCCAGCTAGTGGTGTCCCATCTTTAGGCACCAGATACTGATGAGGAACAGAAGCTGAAGAGGAACAATGTAAAATAAGAGACAATAAGCAAAACAAACGATAAATGTGTTAACATACCTATACATATATATATATATATATGCCTCCAAAGCCTCAGGATGGTCGGGGGTGGGTGCCTTGCGCTGCGGGTTGGCCACCCCTCCGTACACCTCTTGAAATGCTTCCATATGACCGGGCGTCTTACATAGCCTCTCCTGAGGAAGTCCTACTCACTGCCTTCAAGTGGCGGAGGTGTTTTTCACCAAAGTGAGAGGGCGAAAGCGGACGCCCGGCGCTCTTCACCGGGTTGACTGTCCATTGGATGACAGTCTAGGGAAGATGGCTAAACCCTGATTCCAAACCTCCAACGACTGGCGTATGAAGATCACTGGAGCTCACCGGCAGACGTATGGACAAAGGGCTTGTTGGATGTCCTGGATGCCTGGCCCCATTGAAAAAGGCGTATGAACCGAACTCCGGTCACCGGCTGCCAATGGATAGTGGACTCTCTTGGTTGTGTAAAGGCTAGAGCTGCACTCTCAAACAAAAGGCCGAGCGATTCTGGGGACATCACTCGTACCAAATTCCCATGAAACTTCATGAACTCTCTTGATTCGAGATGTTCATGAAGCCGGCTCATCCTCTCGTAGGAGATAGCCGAAGCAAAGTAAGTAAGTATATTTGTATATATATGCGTCGGGGGCACAGCAGTTAAGACACTCGCCGACCATGCACATGGTCCGGGGTTTGATCCCTCCCCGATGCACCCCTTTACCTCGCTAAGCCAGTAATAAAGCTGGTAGAGAGGAAAGGTTGGACATGAGGCTAGCAACCCCATCCTGTAAAAATAAACACTGCTGCAGAAACTTCAAGCCTCTAGCTTGAAGCCCTATGTTCCACTGGGAACGTGAAGGAATAAATGATATATATATATATATATATATATATTACTTCACAATTTTGCTTACAGTCAGTCTCTCATATTTGCATACATGTAGTTTAATAATAGTGACAGCTTTACTCCAAACAGTACTTTTGGTACAAATATGGAATTTCAGCATTTAATACAATACTGCATCTAAATTTCTCATTATAGGGATAATAACTTACATTAATAATATTGTTCAAAAAGAAATGAATATAAAATTATATCAAGTGAAAATATTAACGACAATATAACAATGAGAACAAAAATGCAATGCCGTTTACTTAGAGTTCTACAGTAAGTTGGTGATTCTGTCTTACACTTTTCTCATCATATAAAATGTGTCCCGGCTAAATAAGGTATTGTAGAGTTTCTGTACTTAGCCGTCCTAGCATATAGTCTTCTATAGTTGCTTCTACTTCTACCTGATGAGATGCAAGGAGAGAGTTGTGTATGGAGAGGATGTTCAGAGTCTGACAAGATAATATTTGTTAATTTCTTGCAGGAATCCAAGTGTCTATCTACAATAGTATTAACGAGTTGGTTTAGCAACACCTCACTCACCCTACTGACGCCTTTTAGTACCCTTCGCACTGTAACAGTCTTTCTTAAGTGGTCCGCGAAAGATTAAGGGGGAAAAGTAAAGAAGCATAGGCAGAATACAAGAATTAACAAACGGTAACAGTAGAGACGGAATGATCCCAAATCGTCTGAACTTCCTTACATAGAACGCCAAAAGAAACATCTTTCTGGAAACTAAGACGATGTGAGAAGACTAGGAAAGGTGATCAGAAGAAATACACAGCCCAAGGTATTTAACACTCTATTTGGTTTCAACTTCAGTGTCATCTATGATAGTGTAACCTGGCGAACTAACCAGTTCATGTCAGTTGCGCTTGCATCTGCAAGTGAAATTAACCACCTGACATTTGGAGAAATTAAGCTTATGGCCACTTGATGAGGACCACTGACTAATTTCTGATAAAAAGTTGTTCATTTTGGAACAGTGTGACTGAGAAGTAACACGCATAAAAAGTCAGATCATCGGCATACTTAACAAAATTAGCTTCGTCAGAATGGGGCAAGTCATGTGAGAAGAAAGAAAACAGAAAAGGAGAAAGAACAGCTCCTTGAGGAACACCACCTAGAGTAAATGAAGCACTGGAGGACTTCCCATTGTAAACAGTGTACTGCTTCCTATCAGAAAAGTAAGAAGGCAACCACTTGGTAATCTAGCACTGTGCTTGTGATGCAGCGAGCTTGTTTAACGAAAGAGGCCTAGGTAAAGGGTCGAAGGCAGATGTGTAATCTAGGAAGGGATACCGAACATATTTGGCACCTCTATCTAAGCTAGAGACAATATCATAATATAAAACGACACTGGCATCCAAACTACACCTGCTATGTTTTTAAGTAAATTGATTTGGGTCGTTAAAAACCTTCAATGAAGGTTCAAGGTTAAGTAAAAGCAGTCTTTCCATTATTATCAAAAAAGGTGAAGTAATGGCAATAGGTCTGAACTTAACAGTTTACCCACTTGATGATTTAGGCACAGGAACAATCTTAATTTCCTTCCAAGAAGCACGTACAGTGTTACTGGAAAATGATTCATTTAAAATACCAGTGAGGGGATGACAAAATGTCAGCACAATTATTGAGGATAACAGTTGGCACATCATCTGGACCAAGGGATTGAGTAGGTCTCAGGGATTTGAGACACTTGAGGACGTTGTCTGTGTTAAATCTGGAGAAGCAATCATTATTTTTACTTGGAGCATTTGAGATCCTAACATCAGCTGGATGACATATGAAGGATTTATTAAGAGTACCAGCATCAACTGAAGAAGAGTTATTAGTTCTGTCCTTTTCTGTTTTCTTTCTTTTTGCACGACTTGCCTCACTCTGATGAAATGAACTTTGTTAAGTATGCCGATGATCTAACTATTTCAATGTCTGTTAACTCCCAGCTTGACTGTACTAAGATGAACAGCTTTCTATCAAGAATTAGCAAATGTTCTTTGTCTAACGGCCTTAAACTAAATCCTTCCAAATGTCAGACTGTTAATTTCAGTTTCCGATGTAAACGAAAGTTAAATGAAGCCGTTGGTTTCTATGGCCCTTGCAAAATTGATGATACTGATATAGAAACCCAGTCTGAAGTTAAGTATCTTGGATTAATTCTTTCTTCTGACCTATCCTGGTCCTCCCATGTCTTAGCAATTTCTAGAAGAATATTTCGTCTGAATTTTACCATTAAGAAGTTGAGGCACTCAGGCATAACCCAACCCCTCCTCTTACAGTTTGTCAACTCGTGCATCTTACCTATTATTCTTTACTGTTCACCCCTGCTTATTCTCTCATGGATTGCTTAAAAAGGACTATACTTCGTAGAACTCTAAAGACTGCCAGTAGAACGAATGGTATCCCATTAAGCAATATCGCTGACATTGTCACTGATAGGCACTTGATGTCATGCAACAAATTCGCTAAAGGAATCTTGTCAGACTCTGAGCACCCACTCTACCCACAGCTGCAACTTTGAGCCTCCTCAGGTAAAACAAGAAGTCTTTTCAGAAGAATTTATGCACGTACGTCTAAGTATAAAAATTCCACTATACCATATTTGGCACGTATTTTATGTGATGAAAATAGTGTCAGGCATGAACTAACTAACCGTCTTTGCACCACTAAATAAACCATTTCCTACACCCTTACAGCATCAAACTTTATTGTTATTGTATTTCATGCATTTATAATCCTCTCAATTTTTTTGTTTTTGTTTAATTTTTTTATAAGTGTGAACATAATTTAAGCTGTGTTATAACTGTTAATTTTCTTTCCCGTCACCATACTATATCAACAGAACATTAGATCCAATAATCTATAACATGCCAAAGTTTTCAAACTGAATCGACAATACCGTTTGAAACAAACTCACTGTTATTATTATTATTATATTTAATAATCTCAATTCGTGCTTCGAATATTTTTAACTTTATACCGTAAATGTGGACAAATACCTCCGGTTAATTTAGTTTTAATTATATTTTGAGTAAATCAGATGCAATATTGTGACAAATGCTGAGAATTCCACTCTGTATTATAAGTACCATTTTTGGAATAAAGTACATTATTATTATTATTATTATTATTATTATTAGTTATTTGCTTACTCCCGGTGATTTCCCTAAACAGCTTCCAAATATTTGATGAGGTTTTACATGATAAGAACTTTTGGTTATAGATCGTATTTAAGACTAGTTCTTGTGCATATTGATAAGCAGTAAATTACAGACTGATAAGTCTGAATTTTGAAAAAAAAGTCACTCATCATTTGTATGGCATTACTTATACAGGAAGTACATACATCAACAGACAAATCATTTCAATCTTGTAAATAAAACTCGATAAAGAGTTACAATGAATAAAATTATAAAGCTAAAAAGATTTTTTAAACAATCTCAGAAATGGTTTACCTAGTGTTTCAAGTTCAGCTTGTGCTGCATAACTTTGTACAAAATGTCCATTCATCTCATCACCATCGAAATCTGCATTGTATGCCTTGCAATTAGAATAGTGAAGACGTAAAGTTTTCGCTCCAGTCGACTTAATTATCCGAACACGATGTGCTTGCATTGAAGGTCGATGAAGAGTAGGCTGTCTGTTCATGATAAGCATATCTCCTTCAAGAAGATGTCTATTGACCTGTATAATGCAGAAGTATACAATAAAGATGTAATGGGGCATATGATATGTAATTGAATATATAAACACCAGTCTAATCACATATTATTCACTTACTATAATAGGCATGATATCCTTTCCTGATATGAGTGGTTTCAAACGTAAAGCCAACATCTCACGTTTTTTCCTTGCCTGAGGAGTATCATTTGGCGGTAGCATAGTTACAATACCATTCGAAAACTGAATACTAGTAGCACCTGGATAATTGCTTGGTCCATTCACTACTAATTGACGTAAAAGAACCAGGTTAAATTTTGTCACCGGTGTTGGAAATGTGAGACGGCATGCAAAAAATAGCGGTACTCCGACCTTAATATTTATGTGAAGGAAAAATAAGCAATAGAGAAGTTGATAAACAGAAATGACCCAAAGGACAGGAATGACAAAATATTGTTATTAAAATAATAATGCATTGCAATTTATTACCATTACACTTTTTGCAGACTGTACCTCTGAAATACATAAGCAGAATATACTTTAATAATGGAAAAAATATTATTATTATTATTATTATTGTTTCCTTTAGTTCCTAGAGGAACATAAGGCTTCAGCCGCACGTTTCCATTGCGTTCGGTTCTCTGCCAACGTTTTCACCTGGCTCCACGTCTGCTCACATGCTTTTATCTCCTCTTCACATGACCTCCTCCATGTCACCCTCGCACTTACGACCAACTAACTCGCCGCTTCCCGTTCGGGCTTTACTCGAGGGCCTGTGTTGTGACGTCACTTGATGGTTTACTCAGAGTATGGCCAATTCACCTCCAAAATATAGACTTATCTTATTTTGAGTAAAAGGAGAACAATGATTTGAGAAGAGTGATATTTTAATTATTTCCATTTTAAGGACTCCTTTTGTATGCATTCAACCTAGGACAATTGCAAAACTAATTCACAAGGAATTACTCACAGACTCTTATCGAAGCCACAGGTAAAACTCTCTGCTGATTCTATCTTACACTTTTTTTTAAATTAACATGCCAAAAGAACATGATTTCACTTAAGTACAGTGTGAACAGGATGATACTACGGGGGGGGGGGGGGCAAGAGCCGAACGGCTAAGCCGAAAACATGGCACCAGTCAATGAAATCTACAACAGTTAGTTTAAGCCAAGTAGGAAGGTGTAGACTTCCTGGTTGGGGTCCTCGGGACAGTAAAAACCAATGGTTGGAAACAATTGGTGACATGGCTCAAAATCGTTCTCAATAGCTGGCGCAGATGCATCCACTCCTTGTGACTTATGATTTCCAATGAAACTGTTTTGTTCTTCTTTATTACTATTCCTTTGTCTCACACCTCTGTTTACTGTCTATATTATGCATTTCTCCTACTTTCTTCTCTTGCTTTGTGTGCTACATGGAGTGTGGCGACTTGAACTGCCGCACATATGTGCAAAGTTCTATGTCGAAAACCGACCCACCGACCGAACGGGTAAGTTACAATGTTTGTCATGATGATGAGATTAAGCCAATGCACCACTGTGTTCAAACATTTGCATTTCGTATGTAACATAGAAGTAAACCAATAATAATTAAAACTTCTACTAGGATTAAGTATTTCCTGTTAAAATTTATCTAACAATAGAAAGTACAAACTGCCACAACCACTGGATTCAGTGAATTAAAAGGTAAGTTAACTTATGCAAAAACAAGATAGTTTTACTACAACAGTTCATGAATACAAATATAATACGTGTAAACTGTGAGGAAATTAACAACTACATGTTTAATCAGTGCTTCTATATAGTTCATAGACTTGGTGAGCCAACAGCTGAATTCACTCCATACTGAAGATTAGAAAGGCAAGAAGGGATTAGCAACAAGAAAATCTGGCAACGGACCGACCAACCAACAAACTAACTAACACCTAACAAATATTCCGAAGAAAATGGAGATGAAACGGATATGCGCTGAAGAGACCATTGAGTGACATAACGCGCCAAGCACTCGAGTGGAACCCGGATGGGAGACGATGAAGTGGGCGTCTCACGGTAACATGGAGATCGTATGAGGATTTAAATACGTGGAGGCAGCTAAAAATGCCTTCAAAGGACAAAGTGAAATAGGAGACGTGCTGTTGAAGACCTATTTTGCACTCAGAACCCAAAGGGATAATAATAATAATAATAATCAGAACAATCAATAATTATATGGGAAATGTTTGAATTCTCTATGGTCAGAAACTTATAATGATGTGATACCAAAAACTGTACTTTATACTTCAGATTATTATTGTAAAATAACAATTCACTAAAGTTAGCTAAATCATAAAACTGAAAGATACGAACATAAACAGACAAAGACGAACACAGATTTATGAGGACAGTGAAAGCATTTTTCACACTTTAAGGGGGAATAGAGAACAACCTAATAAAAAAATAAGAAGAGGAACAAAGAAAATGAAGTGAAGTGAACAAACAAATAAAAGATGTTGAATTGCCGAGACTTTGAAGATAAAGATCAGTTAAAACATTATAGACCATAGATTCTTATACCTCTAATATTCAAGTCGGGTAACCGATACGATTTGGACAGACAAACACGATTAGGCTACAATGCGCCTTAAATTAATTCTTATCATATGATTATTTTTCAATAATTTTAAATTGTTGAATGTTAAATTACCCTATTCTGACAAAAAAACTTACCTCAGTAACGCTAAGATTTGGATCGGGGCTGATAACAGAACGGCATGCAAAATTAACTCGTTTTCCCATCATGTGCATACGGAATAGACCTTCTTTTCGCTCCAGGCGTTGTCTTAAACCAGGTAGGCGAATAGCGTTACTGCTTGATCCACCAGTTTTTGACTCTAGCCCTAAAGGAGTAATTGCCATATTCATATCATAAACGCCATTGACAGCTGCCTGAAGAAGCACCGTCGCAAGTTTCAAAGCACCATCAGAACGTGAATCATCAATTGAATTCTCACCACCAATGGTTGGTACTAAACTGGAGATTTTTTCTGTGCTAGCAGAACTGCCTGATTCACTACGTTGGCGGATAAAATCTACGATACTGTGTAGAGTCTGTGCACGTTTAACAATACGAACATAAACAGCAGTCTCTGGATGTTCATAAACTAAGTTTCCAACATGTCGTGGCTGCAAAAACAAAACATTAGATATATATTATTTTGATAGAAACAAAGGATACGCCTAAAAAGCTTTTAACCAAGTATTTTAGTTAAAATATCAGGCAATAAAGATAGCAAATATAAAATACCTGCGGTGAAACTAATGTTTAGTCCATCCTAAACAAGTGCCTCAGTGTGATTTCCCATTCTACTACCACTGGATTTTAGCCTATATAACAAATACTTCCATAGTGATAATAAAAAGCATTGATTAGATTTGAACGAATTAGGCACATTTTACGACTCTACGTATTTCAAGAACAACTTACACTAAATAAGACCATTAAGTATAGAAATTAAGTGACAGCGGTTAAAATAACTATCAGTATTTCGGGAAATCAGTATGTATTGAAGCAAAAAGCTGATTTACTGACAAGAATACCAAAAGCACAGGATTTTTGCACACATGAGTAAAATACAACTACTGAGAAGGTGAATGAGTTTCGTTAAGATCCTACTGAAGATCAGAGAATGGAAATATTTCTTCACGTGGTTAATCAAACGAAAATACATTTATTTTCAAGACCATAGTACTTGAGCATTCATGAAATACTTCTTACCCATCGACATAGCGAAGGAGATAACAAGACATTGTCCATAAAAAATACATCTGTTGGAAATTGATGGTTAGACTTTGCAGCTTGAAGCATAGGGAGAAGTAACGCCAAAATATCACCGTCATGGGCCCAAACACATCTAAGCATTATACGAACCATTTCTTTGGAAAACAAATGTAAAAGTGACTTAATGCATTCATATATATATATAGGGATTTTAATGCAAAATTAAAATTTGCACACTGAAAATGACTAAATTTATCTCAGCAATTAAAATCAACATAGGCAATCTGCTTGATGCACAACCTTAAAACCATCAGCGAATACCAAAACAGTGATGCTTACGCAATGCGTAGCAAATGAAGTATATCCGTTATGATAAATCCGGAACGCTTAGACCTCGCTAGATGAATGTAACTGCTTTTCATGGTGGCTTTTGTTGATATTTAAACGCCGTGCCCATTGCACATATTTTGTTAATCAACAGCCACATGTGTTAATGAACCTATCAATGTGTTACACTTACTGAATCAGGGCTGGTGATATTAACTGCTGCCATAACCACAGTAGGTGAAGTGGTGTTTGAACTCGTGACCTGGTGGTTAAAAGTTGAGTGTATAATCCAACGAATTATAGTATTATTGTGGAGTTCATAGAGTCAGGTCAAACTCGAATATAAACTAATCGTTTTAATCCTGTAAGAGATCAACAGCGAAGATAAGATATTCCAATAACAGGTCTGTACTGATTGGTTGACAAGCGTAATACTTTATGGCTAAATGGTTGCAGTTTAAGCACTTTAGTTTTAGCCACTGGATTACGGATTAACTTTTTTTTTACAACATGAGCTGCCTGGAAGTGCATAATTCCTCATCTATTAAATGGCTAACAACTTAGTGAAAAACAGTCTGTACTGAATAACCTAATCTCTGTTTTTATTACACGACAGAGAGAAGACAGATGACTTGAAAACTACTAGCAGTTTGCACTTTATTACTGTTTTAGAAACAAAATGAATAATGGAAACCATCAAGTCTTATAATACGGAAGTACTACTTAAATTTAATGGTTGCAACCCAAATATTAGTAGATATTGTCTACCTTATAAAAATTCAGCCAACAGTAGAACGAAAGTTAATGATTTTCAGGTAACTGCTGTGACTGCCTTCCTCCGAATAACATTACCAAATTGTCTTTTGAGTATGAAATTGAAGACAAAATTAGGTTCAACAAATAAAAACCGTAGACCCAACCGCCTTTAGGTAAAAAGTGAGTTTATATCCCCCAACATATGAGAACCCCTAACATACCTGGTGGAAAACATGTTTCTTTAGACTGTGATTGGTTTCGCATTGCCTCAGATAGCATATTTCGTGCAGTGGATAGGTTGGATGCATATTCCGCTTCCATTTTACTATCTTCACTTTCGTCAGTCATATCAACAAATTGTGATGAAGACTGTGGCGCAAGACGTTGGTCTTCTACTTCATGACCTTCCAGAAGGTCAGAATAATCTTCCTCCATGTCTCTAAAAAGACAGCGAGAATAAAAACATTAAATCTGGTGTACCAAAACTACTTATGTAAGATTATTTCAGATATTATCATAACGATGTGAAATAGCAGTAGTTAGTCCAAATTCCTACCACAATAGAAAAGTCATTTAAATCCAGTTAAGACTAATGCTGTCTACCACTGGATAGTTAAAAATGTACGCTTCAATGGGGTTTATAGACTCCTGTTGTGCACAGGTGTTATCTATGTGAGATATTTCGCTCAGGCGACCAATATTTTAACTGTGCTATCGATTTGCCTCACAGAGGGTTAGACTAAACTTCATCAAGAAGGTTCATTTCCAAAAATAATGAGAGGGCAAAAGCTCAGCTTAGTCGAAACTAGGGATACACTGGTGATTTTCCTTGAGAGGTTGTAACGATCATGATCCAAGTTTCAATGACTACTTTTGTCGACTTTAGCTAACTTGCAGATGGCTGACAGTTGCATTATTTTTCATTATTCTAGTGGGCTTGAAGCATCTGTGCAGAAACCCAAGCAGAAAAACAAACAAAAAACAATCAAACGTGTCCGTAAGGAAACACAAGTCTGGAAATATGAATAAACTCCATCACCTATACTGCATATACTTTTTAAAGTGAGTATAAATAAAAAGCAAAAAAAAGTTGAAATTCACTTACTCCTTCATCTTCGCCTTTGAACGATTACCCGCAGCGAAAGATATAGGATGCATTACTAACTGCTGTTTGTTTATTTGTCTAATTACCCACGAACCAGTACCACATAGTTTACACGGTGCACGAGGTCTGGTAGCGAGATATCTGAGAGCTAGCTGACGTAGTTCACTGCCTGACAATCCTTTTAGCTCTTGGATCTCCAGAGCTTTTGGTTTTCCTGGAAGTTTCCTCTCTAAACATAATTATACGCAGAAAGTTAACTTGCCTGGTGCTCCAAGAAGGTGAAGAGCTGAGGAAAGATAATCTACACTGTATATACGAAAACATCCGAAGCAGAATGATTTTACTATCTTCAAAGTATGAGTCTAAACATTGCACTCACTTTATACAACACATCAAACATGAAGGGGTTGAATACTGGCTTTGCGAATTCTATGTGTCCGCAGTGACCTGGACAGTCAGAGAAATCCATGCCACAGTGAACACATGTCTCACTGTAGTCGATAACTCCTATGCAAAATCAACATGAGAGTGCACAATATATTACCAAAGTTCACATCATGTAATCCTCCATCTACCCCACGACCAGTGAACTTATCAAAAGCCAAATCGTTTGTAATTTTTCGGACTGACAATTTTCTAATGTCCTGTGAGCTATAAAACCCATAACCCAGACAATGTATACGACCAATATCTATGCAGTCCATTCTACGCGTGCAACAAACTTGAAGTTCGCGGTGATGGTATGACCCAGAAAGGTCATTCAGATTCAGATGATAATAGGCGGCTGGACTTATCCGGCATGTTGGTTGAAATTTCGCTCGGCAAATTTGTTTTGTCAATAGTTTTTAATAAAATTTTGTTGTATGTTTTCTGGATTGATAGGAATTCTCATTTCCTGGCTAGTTATGTTGGTGTCTGCGTCACACGCTACCGCGCGAACTTTGAAAAGGGAGTGAATTTTACACGCTCTTGTTTAGTTTTGGCTTTTGTTGTGTTATACGCTCCAAAAGTCTTCAGATTAACTTTAAATCAGTTTATTCTGATCAAAGTTAGTTTACTTTTCAGATCTGAGTCTATTTAAATTATAGGAAATTGTTTTTTTTATAACATAATAGTTATATATATATTTTTGTGCACTCATTGATTTTTATCGCTGACTTATAAAGGTCTATATACATCTAAGTTATATTTAAATTTCTTCGCCAGTCTGTTCTAGACAGTATGCCCATCAAAAAAAACCGCTGTGGAAGGGTTATGTGCCAATTCCCAGTGGATGAGGGAATGCAGTGTGATAACTGCAAGAGATGGTTTCACAGTATGTGCACAAACCTAACTCCTGCAGCATACAAACGCTGCTGTAAACCTCTAGAAAACTGGTTGTGCAATGACTGTTGTAGTACTACCAAACTCCGTATTACAGAAGCCATTGCCACTCTTAACGGGGCTTTAAAGCTCATGGACTGCAAGGGTCTTCCATCACAGGAGAAGACTAACTGCTTCTCAGACACCGAAGATGTGACTAGCGTCATCGACAGAACAGTATATGTTCCTAATGAGTCTTTGTCAATGACTGAGTGCCCTTCAGCACAGAAGAGCACTCACCACATTCCAGTCACCCAGGCTGCCCCCACGATACTGAATAAGCCCTCCAGTGACAGTAACAGAAAGACTGCCACAAAGAAGAGGCGTACCAGGGGTCGTAAACCCGCAACTCAAGTCACCCGGGTACTAGTGGATCAAGCCTCGTCCACACCGGTGAGTAGCAGGCAGATAAATCCTGCTACGACTAGTGAAGAGAATGCCAATGAATGGCGTAACGTAGTCTCTCGCAAAAAGCGAGATATGGAAAATACATTGGCCACACTGCCCACGAAGGACAGGAAGACATTCACGCCGCAGAGCAAGAAAACCACGGCAAGCAAACCTGATCTCTCTGACAGGTCGCTCATTCTCCACAAAGTGGAAGAGTCATTGGCCCCCGAACCCAAGACTAGATCTGAGCATGACCTTAACTTGGTTAAGCCCCTTTTAGACAAGCTACTGCCACAAACAGTATCAGGCATCACTATACACAGTGTATATAGAATAGGCCAAAAGCCTGACCCTACAGTAAGTCAGCCTGTACGTCTCCTCAAAGTCGTACTAAACTCTAAAGAAGAGAGGGATGCTATTCTAAGCAACTCTCATATACTTAAAGGATCAGGCATATATGTCCGCGCCGACTTAAGCCTGGCAGACCGTATCAAAAGACAGTCTGCGGCCATAGAATTAAGCGAACGACGCCGAAACGGCGAAAAGAACCTTAAGATTAAGGGTTTTCGGGTTGTTCAAGTTCGCAGTTTAATGATCCCGAAACCTCTGTGGGTAGGCCGGGGAAGCACCAAACTGGATTAACAGTTTGCTACACAAACGCCCGCAGCCTGTTAAATAAACGGACTGAGCTGGTTAACATGATAGACTCCGGAAACCCGGATGTAATTATTATCACAGAGACATGGTTCACACCCGATGTCACTGACAGCGAAGTTAACCTGCCAAACTTCGAAGTGCATAGGGTAGACCGACTAAACCGCAAAGGAGGTGGCATAGTCGTTTACCTCAAGAAATGCTTAACCGTGCGTAGTATCGAAGCACTCGCTCACGAAAGTGAGTCGTGCGAACTTCTACGCTGCAGACTTAAATGCATAGACCAAGACATTGACCTCATTGCTATTTACCGCAGTCCTAACTGCAGTGCAGATGACTTCCTGATAGAGAAGCTAGGCTCCTGGACCTCGAAATGTCGAAGTCTCGTAGTTGGCGACTTCAATGCCCCAACAGTTGACTGGACGAGCCTAACAACTCCATCCTCAGTCAACTCCTTTGATTATAAACTGCTGGAATCTAGTATATCGTTAGCTCTAGTCCAACATATCATCAAGCCCACGCGCTATGACTCACAGCACTCCTCCTCAACTCTGGACCTAGTGTTCTCCCATGGTGAGGATGTAGATCTCATACAACATCTTCCTCCTTTAGGAAGAAGTGACCATGCTGTGCTCACTTTCAAGTTCACAGCAACGGCAGCAAGGGCCAAAACCCCATCTCGACCAAACGTTTGGAAAGCTGATATAAATGCAATCATCTCAGCAGCCAACTCAGTAAACTGGTACATCAACCCAGAGTCTCAAGTAGAAGCCGCATGGAACCAATTTAAACAACTTTACGCCCAAGTAACTGAACCTTTCATCCCTTGGTCTGTCCCAAAGGGTCGGAAACACTGCCCTCCTTGGATAAACCGAGAGATTCGTAAGTTACTTAGACGTAAACACAAATGTTGGAACTTGTTTGCCACACTTGAGACTTCTGAGACCAGGCAATTATATAACACTGCTAGAAATAAAGCTATTGCAGAAATCCGCAAATCAAGGATGAAATTCGAAGCACACCTGGCTCAAAATGCAAAGGCACAACCTAAGAAAATTTTCTCATACATGAACTTCAGGAATAAAACATCCAATGGTGTCCCAAACCTGACTATTGACAATGATACAATCGAAGAAGATCAAGAAAAAGCAGAAGCAATGGCAAACTACTTCTCCCAAGTCTTCACTCAGGAGTCGTCACTGCCTACCGGATCAGCTCTGGCTGCATCAGAAGAACATGGGATAGATTCCGTTGACATCGACCAAGGCATCGTGCTCAACTGCCTAAGGAAACTAGATGCAGGGAAATCAATGGGTCCTGATGATCTTCACCCAAGGCTTCTCAAGGAGTTATCAGCACACATAGCCGGCCCTTTGACTACGATCTTCAAGCTTTCTCTCCAAAATGGAGTGTTACCGCGTGACTGGAAAGACGCCATAGTAACACCCATCCACAAAGGAGGATCAAGACAAAGCCCTTCAAATTACAGGCCTATCAGTCTCACCAGCACTTTAATTAAGACACTGGAGAGAATCATCAAGAAAAGCATAATGGCATATCTAGAAAATAGAAGCTTATTATCAAGAGCACAGCATGGCTTCCGAAGGAACCTCTCATGCCTGTCAAATCTTCTCACTGCAAGAGAAAGCTGGGTTAAATCCAGGGACAACAGAAGACCCGTTGACGTCGTCTTCATAGACTTCAGCAAAGCCTTTGATAAAGTACCTCACAAAAGACTACTCATGAAGTTGGAAAGTCTTTGTATCAAAGGCAGCTTACTAAACTGGCTCAGGGAATTCCTCATAGATAGGAGGCAGAGGGTTAGGATCAACTCGAAACTCTCCTCTTGGACAGCAGTACGCAGCGGAGTGCCACAAGGCACGGTACTTGGACCTCTCCTATTTATTTTGTATATCAATGAGTTATCTCTGCTCACCGATTCCCCTATGGTCCTATACGCAGATGACTTAAAAATTTGGAGAGAGCTGAAGGGCAACAGTGACACGTCCACGTTGCAAGAGGACCTCAACAAATTGTCAGAGTGGTCCATAGAATGGATGCTCCCGATAAACGTGACAAAATGTGCAACCATGCGCATTGGACCAGCAAGCACGAGCTCTTATGAACTAGAGGGAATTACACTTCCATCAGTTCAGACTTACTTGGACTTAGGTGTCATAGTTAGCCACGACTTAAAAACTACAGCACACTGTCGCGCGGTGGCTGCACGTAGTTTCAGGTCATTATGGGCAATTCGTAGAGCCTTCACTAGAATCACCAGAGATATGTTCACCTCCTTATATACATCTCTGGTGAGGTCAAGACTGGAAAACTGCATCCAGGCCGCCAGCCCTTGTCTAAAAGGGGACTCACTTATTCTAGAAAGGGTTCAAAGGAAAGCAACACGTATGATTCATGGCATGACTAACTTATCATACGAGGAAAGACTAGACAGTTTACATCTCTTCTCACTGTCATACCGTAGGCAGAGAGGAGATTTAATCACAATGTTTAAAATGTTGCAAGAGGACCTCAACAAATTGTCAGAGTGGTCCATAGAATGGATGCTCCCGATAAACGTGACAAAATGTGCAACCATGCGCATTGGACCAGCAAGCACGAGCTCTTATGAACTAGAGGGAATTACACTTCCATCAGTTCAGACTTACTTGGACTTAGGTGTCATAGTTAGCCACGACTTAAAAACTACAGCACACTGTCGCGCGGTGGCTGCACGTAGTTTCAGGTCATTATGGGCAATTCGTAGAGCCTTCACTAGAATCACCAGAGATATGTTCACCTCCTTATATACATCTCTGGTGAGGTCAAGACTGGAAAACTGCATCCAGGCCGCCAGCCCTTGTCTAAAAGGGGACTCACTTATTCTAGAAAGGGTTCAAAGGAAAGCAACACGTATGATTCATGGCATGACTAACTTATCATACGAGGAAAGACTAGACAGTTTACATCTCTTCTCACTGTCATACCGTAGGCAGAGAGGAGATTTAATCACAATGTTTAAAATTTCAAATAATGACTACGGACCTGACCTATTTTCTCTTTTCCTTCCCACCAGGTCGGAACACCTTAGAGGACATAGCAGGAGAGTTCAAAAGCCAAGAAGAAATCATATTGCTGTTGAGTACTGGTTCTCCCACCGAGTCATAAACTCTTGGAACCGACTCCCAGAAGAAGTGGTGTCTGCAACCTCAGTTGATTCGTTCAAGAAGGGTTTGGACAACCACAGAATTTTACTAGAAAAGGATTAACATAGGCTCCAAGCCTTCTATCCTCAACCAATAAATAAAATAAAAAAAAATTTAATCTGACTGCGAC